ATTTTTGAGAAAGAGCTAAGATGATGCCTAAAAGATCTTAAGTACCATGTTTGGAAGAGTACTTCTGTCTAGTCTACTTAAGATATTGGACATGCCTTATGTAATGAAGGAATAACCTTACGACAGATGTTAACAACAAAAATAGTATCGTCAAAAATTGGCTCAATGGGGTTTCGCTTATATAACCTGTTATGTGCATTAACAATATACATCAGATGTTAGCTTTTAAATTCATCCTATCAAATTTCTTTTTCCTACCAGATCTTTTTTCTTTGTTTTTGCAATTATCATTAATTCTTTATCGAATATTAATTTAATATTTAAGTAATCCAATGAGGCGATATTTACATATTGAAACCATTTAGGTTTTATTATTTTCTTAAATTAGAATTTTTAATTTTTTAAAAATTTGGATTTCATTGTATCAATTAGTATTATTACTACTAGCTTCAATGAAAAAGGTAATTTAAAAGTTGTACTTTATTTGTTCAATATTTAATTGCTTTTGTTTTTCTTTCTCATTTCTCATTTCAAATACATTTCAAATTATTGATTTAGTTGGAATTAAAATTATTGAAGTTTGTAGTAAACGAAATAGTTGGATAAGTTGTGAAAATTATCACTGAAATCAATATTATTCATTTTGCATAGAACACATTTCAAATTATTGATTTCATTAAAATTTACAGCATATTTCAAACTATCAAACTATAAATAGTATGGTAATAAATTCAGGAAATTATCACAGGAAATTGTTATCAATGAAAAATATATATCGCAAAAAAGTTATCACAGAAAATTGTTACCAAAAAATACATATCACAAAAAAGTTATCACAGAAATTCGTTATCAAAAAAATACATATTACAAACAAAATTATCACAGAAAACTGTTATCAATAAAAAATATATATCATAAATAAAATTATCACGAAAAATTGTTACCAAAAAATACATATCACAAGCAAAATTATCGCAGAAAATTGTTATCAGTAAAAAGTGAAAATCAAAATTTAATTGAATTAAATAATTTGAATTTTATCAGTAAAATTTTATACTTAATTTCTTCCCTTTTTTGATGACGAAAAATATATTTTAATATTTTCCAGTTAATTTTAATATTTTATCAAAGCGAAGGAAAAGAAAGAAAGAAAGAAATTGAAATGTATTTTTTGGTAATGCAATGCCTATAAGCTTAACATGCAGATTTTATTGCTCGGATAGAATGAATGCTTCTTTTAGGATATTTTATATTTGGTACCTTTTCCGTAGCAAATTTTCTTATAACTAATAACTCTCTGTCAATCATTTCATTCGTTGTATCAGTTATACTGCTAAATTTTCCACATTTAACCGTTAAAAATGTATGAGAAGCAAATGATGGAAAAACTATAGATAGATGTGTTGGTTACATTGTTTATTAATTAATTATATTTTTGTCGTATCATCGTATCATTATATTTTCAATATGTATAGCTTCAGTTTCGTAATATATATATATTTTTTTAACTTAGATCTAACAATAAAAAATAAGACAAACAAATAATTGCAAAACTACAGGTGTGATATTTGCATTGTTTACTAATTGATAATGTGTTATTATCGTATCATTATTATCGTATTACTGTATCATCGTATTCTCAATGTTATTTGTATCTTCAATTTCTTTAATGACCTTGTGATATATATATATCACAAGGTATATATATATATATATATCACAAATATTTTCAAAATTTTCATTGCTTTCTTATCTTATTAATTACTTATACAAATTGAAGGTACCTTATCTTATCTTACTAATTAGTGAATCAATTATAAAAGAACATACATATATAATTAATTAGTTGGCTGCATCTTGCATGCATCATACTTGCACTGTGCAAATTTCACAAATATAATTATGATTCATCGTAACATATTGTAGAATTCAACGTTTACAAAAGTTATATAAGCTTTGTTCTTAATACAGCAAGATTTTGCATTTTGATTGAGAAATTTCTACTTCTCTTAAAAAAGAAAAGAGTTAAATTAATTAAAAAATTAGCAACATTATTAAAATCAAATTCAATTTAAAATTTTTAATTTTTTAATTAATTAAATTTCAATTATCAATTTGTTAAAAGAAAATTTTTCAACCAAATTAACAAATTATTTCTTCAATAATTAGCATTTTCCTTCTATACCCAAAAATAATAGAATCATTTATTTTATTAATTACATTCGATTACGAAGTAAAATACAATTTTATACTTTTTTCATCCTTTAATTAGTTGTCATTTACCAATTTAAATTTCCTAAATTTCAATCATTTTTTTTTGACACATTTAAATTTGCGACTAAATTTATACTAAACGTTTATATCAATTTATCCACTTAAGGATACTATTTCTTCAATAAATATAATCAATTGAAATTTTTATTTTATACGATAGAAATATAATTTTAAACCTTTCGAAGAGTTTCGTTTTCTTTTCATGTAAATATTTTCTAAACTTGAGGAATAATTATTCTAAACTTAGGGAAGTAATTTTTACACGTATTTATATACTTTTAATATTTAGGATAAATGGATACAATTTAAGAATGGATTCACATTTGTTGACAGCGGATATTTTTATGCCTTCATTAATGTTGATTTGTTCCAATCATTTGTGTAAACATCAATCTTAATTCAATTTACTTACCATGTTAAATTTATGTAACATATAGAAGAATATGATGCTATTAACTACTTTTAGTTGAATAGTTTGCAAAAGAACGGATATATACTACAAAATAAATAATTAACGGTTAGCATAATTTTCTCAAATATATCATTTTCAAATGATCTATTTTATTCTCATTTCTAAATATTATTTTATCGAACTTGCTCTAAAATTGATATTTACAATTGTGATTAATACAGTTTTATGGTATTAGAAATTAATTCATAAAATTTAAATTTATATTATACATATATGCGTGGAAATTTCTGCATCATTTCTCCCTATTTCAAAATATTTTTCGAAATTATGAGTCATCAAATAATATGTTTATTTGATGATTCACAATTTCAAAAAATATTTTGAAATAGATTTTTTTGCAAATGTTTGCATATATTGGAAATATATACGGCAAAAAATGATTTATCCTGACAAGAAATAAAACCGAAAATTCGATTTCAAATTGAATTCCCAAGTGATACATCACTTTGACGAAACGAAAAAAAAATCTGATATCCATTTTCATTTTGAAAATTCCTATACAATTAGTAACTAACGAATAAGTTCTATCTTTTCTGCATTCATATCTTTTTGATAATTAGCAAATACAAAAAAATGCTTCATTACTGATCGCTGACAAATACGATGAATTAATAGTCTTTTTTGCAAAGCCTAATAAAATCAATAATTAGAAATCAATTGGAAATTGATTATTTATTTTATTGAGAATGGAAGCATATACTAATTAATCAATCATAAGCATAAAGATTAATGAAAGAGGACAATAAGCTGTCACTAATAATAAACAAACCTGGAATAAATAACTATTAATATCGAATATTAAAAGGCTAAATAATATAAAGAAATAATATAATAGTAATAATCTAAATAATAATAATAATAATAATGTAAATAATAATCTAAATAATAATACTAATAACAATGATAATCTATTTATGGATAAGTTAAATATATGATATAATATTTTGCATAAATTATAAGAACTTTTCTCATTTTATTTCAGAGATGAGAAAAGAAAGTTCTTTTCGTTTTTAGTTTCATTCATTCAAAGACATTCCTAAGATTTACTTAATTGTATTTATTTGCTAAAACTTTAAATTGAACACAACGATAAAATATGTGAGAGAATGTGAAATGATAATATGTGCCGAAATTTCAGCATAAAACTATCGTTGATTGAATTCATCCACCACTTTTTAACAAATCGGATTTCATTTCTCACTTCATTCTCAATACTTTTCTTTCCTCACCACTTTCTAAACCTTAGCTTTAGCCTATTCAATCTTTATTCAAAACGATTCATTAGTCTTTTCCTAGCCTATATGTCCCGTTATCGTTAGTTTAGCCTAAATTGTTTAGCCCGTTGGACCACGATTACTAATACCATTGCTAGCTACTATAAAATTACCAGCGCGCGCGCACACACACACACACACACTAATTTATCCGTAAATTTGGCTGTCACATTGTTGTCAACAGCTGCCTTGGCTTTATCACATCTATTTGAGCTAAGGTAATGAATATTTTTGCTTTTTGAAAAATGAAAAATATCTTTTTAAATATGCAAATTGATTTATCAATTAATGTGAATGTTATTTTAAAAAATAAGGAAAGGAAGGTGACAAAAATAAGTAAAACTAAATGATAAAATTTGATAAGCTGAATGATAAAATTTGATAAGCTAAATGATAAAATTTACATTGAAAGTGCTAAACGAATTTAATATCGCTAACTTAGATATTTTAAATTTTAAAATTTCTATGTTATATAAAATAGGAAGTGAAGTGAAACGTATTTTATTTTCTTTTCTTTGTTATTCCAGACATTTTAATTTAATTTAACTTAAATTTAATTTAATTTAAATTTAATTTAATTTAATTTAAATTCAATATTAATCTCTTCTTAAAAAAAAGTCCAGTGATGATGAAATTTGAACTCATGAAGGTATCGTAGTAATTGAAGGAAATCTATGTGACAGATTTAATAGATCATATTAAATTTAAATTAAATCAAAAAATGAAACTTGAAATTTTTATCTAATAGTTTATTATTTCTTCACAAGTTCACTTTTGATATTTCCACTTTTAATACGAAATAATTATGCTTTTTAAATTTTAAACTATGTTGTGATTTTACATGTAAATTATGTCTATTTAAAATTATATTCGCTGTACAGTAAGATTTATTTACGTTTCGCTTTATTGATAATAATGATAATGTTAATGATTAAAAATACTATGGTAGAGTTATTTAAGAAGTCGCATGATGTTTTATGATGGGATGTGAATGCATATCACCACCACCGGCATTCGATATTTCCCCACCACCGGATCCTTCATTAATTTGGCATTTACTTTCCGATGAACATGCTGATGAACTTATTCAGGTTTTCTCTTCTTCTTCTTCTTCTTTTTTTCAAAGCTATTAAATCAGTAAATTTTTAAATGTTTGTTAAATTTCAAGTTGCTAATGATTATGAATAAATATTACGGTAATGTTTGCGACAGCTTTATCATGAAAATATAAATAATGATTAAGCTTTCTTTCTATTATCCAAATAATTTCTGATGTTTCTTCAATAGCCAAAGAAACTTGAAATTGTGAAAAAAAGCAAAATTGGAAGGGAACTTTTTAAAGGTGTAAAAAAAGATAATCGTCAATAGAGAAAGAGGGAGAGAGAGAGAGAGAGAGCTTTGAAGAGGAAAATGATTTGAATGATATATGTAAATTAACATCTGCATATATATATTTTTTCTAACCACATTTTGTATGTAAATTGTAAATAGAACAAACTAATATGGTATAAGATAGTCTAGCATGAAATTTGATTTACAACAATGTTGCACAACAAATTTCATGTATATTTTAAGCAGTAGCAATAATAAAATAATATCTAAGGCAAAATGGAGAGATCAAAAAAGAATTTGGAAATAAAAGTTCATATTAAAATTTATGTTTGATTATATGTATTTATCACTACCATTATATTTTTTTTTCACTATCAAAATGTATATTTATCACTATTATTATATATATTTATCACTATCATTACATATATTTATCATTATCATTACATATATTTATCACTATTATTATATATTTTTTCACTATCAATATATATATTTATCACTATTATTATATACATTTATCACTATCATAATGTATATTCATCGTTATCATTATATATATTTATCACTATCATATATGTATTTAAATAAAAATAACAATATTATATAAGATAAGATGATGAATAGATTAAACAAAAATTTTTTTAATTAAGAATGAAATTTAATAAGTAATATAATGTAAGACAAAAAAAGTTAAAGAATTGAAAAATTCAAATAAATGTTTCTAAAAAATTGGATTATTTTCAGATTCAACAATGTGATGCAAATCAACAAATATTATCATCATCACATGATGAAGTATCACCTTCTGTACTTATCAATTTACCCAATTATCTTATCTATGCCTTACTTGCATCCGGTGCACTCATTTCTGCTGCCTTATTAATCATCATTATTATTTGCATACGAATACGAAGGTTATCATAATTTTATCGATTATTTTAAATTTCCATTCATTGTTTTGTATAATTTATAAAAAATACGAAATGAAAATTTTCTATTAAAGAAAAATTGATTTAATGAAGAAATTAATTAATTATAATCATTACAAATAAAATAATTAATTCATTTTCTATTTGCTTCCAATAGAGAAATGATTGATTTGAGTGATAATTTTAAACAAATACAATGATAGTGATAATCTTAAAAAATACAAGTGATAATATATTAACTGATATATTCTATCTCAGGTAATATTGTCATCACTTTTATTAATTTGCATTTGTCAAGCATTAAAATTTGATTAATTTATGGGAAATGATTAGAGAGCTAATTCTCATTATCGCTCCGCAAACCATATTATTAATAAATCACATTTGCATGCTGTCGTTGTATTACTGTTGTTGTTGTTGTTGCTGTTTGGATTACTACCCTAATTGTCTTTCTCAATCCCTGTACCGATCCATTTGTTTTTCCCCCCGTCCTTCCCCGTTCACTTATTTTAACGGGGGAATGATATATTACCATAGCAGAGCGATTCATTAATCATCCATTTTGTCCAATTATCAACTCCTTCAAGACAATAATATAATAAATAATTCTCAGTAATATACTATAATATATTTTATTAAATAATGATTAATATATATATACAAAATATTATTGAGTTATTTTGGCATTTTTCCCTTACCTTTTATTATTTGTTATTGTTGTTCTATTATTATTATTATTATTGAAAAAATTAAAAGATTATAATTAATGATAAATTAAATAATTGACAACTTTTTTTAAATAATTTTTTAACTTTTTAAATTTCTTAAATTTTCAATTAATTTCATTTAGCTTCTGAGAAATGTTACATTTACACTTCATTAATGCATAATTACCTAAGTAAACAACAATTGCTTTTGATTAACAACAATTGCTTAGATAAACATGTTCTAAACTTTACTTAAATGCAAAATGCAATTTGAAACGAGCGATCTGTTCAATCTCTCTAAAGCACCATTTTCCATTACTAATTAATTAATTTCATTAACACAGTAATTTGCATGAATCTGCAAAGAATATTAGAGCAATCAAATTGGTGAAAATTTTACGCTTATTGAACATTTGAAAATTTGAACATTTGAAGGTGAAAATTTTATGCATATTGAACATTTGAAGGATTTATGCGATTTGCAGTGCTGCGTGATTAATGCAGATGACCTTTGATCTTTATAGTGTTACAATGTTCGAAATTATAATTTACACATTTGAAATAATTTATCTGTTTTAATTAAAATTTTAAAGATTTATATGGTGTTTCCCAAAACAACTTAGTTATAGCGAATTATTTTGCTGCACTTCTGAACTTCGACCTATTCTATCATTTGATCTATTCTTCTATTTTTTTCACTATTTTCTCAATTGACATTTATCAATTTAGTGATAACATAATTATTTAGAGTAATTAAATTCAACCACTATCTGTTATATATTTGCTTTGTAATTTTAGTTGATTTCGATGAACTAATAAATTTGCTATCAAGGAATTTTATTAGCATGCAACATATATACTTGCTGCATGATAAAAATGTATTTTATCCTGCAAATTGATAAAGATAAGCTATTGATAATTTACATATGCTTATTTTCTCTTTCACTTATTTTCTCTTTCACTAACACATATAGTCTTAATTTAAACGGATATTTTATGATCCGTTTAAATTAAGACTACACGTTTTGTTCCGTAACGACAATCCGATTTTTATTATCTCCTTACTGATTCATTATTCAGTATTATGTTAGAAAATAAACGAATATTAATCGAAATTTCTGTTCAAAAGACCAAAAATCATTTCAATGCTTTTTTCATTAAAGCAAATGAGTTGAATTAATGTGCGAATTATAAAATTCATAAAAGGAATGAAAGGTGGAAAAAGTGTCACCATGGAAATTTAACAAGTGGAATAGGTTGTGATGATAATTGATGCTGATAATTAGAAGAGATAATAAAAATTTTGAAAAGATTGCATGTTGATAATTTTAAAACAATAATCATTTAATTTTCATTTTTTAGGTCCAATCAGAAAGGACGAACAAAAATTAAACGAAAATCCGAATTTTCAACTGATATTGTATTAAGTAGTAACGATTGGCCCTATGCCACAACAATTCAAGATAGCAATTCAATGATAAATGGTAATTTATTATACGGGTCCATTGAGAGTAATTTCATCAAGCATAAAGCTATTCGGGTCACTTCAAATTCATTGAGGTTAGTCACTGAACGATCAATTTTATGATTTTATTTTTCGTCTTCAACAATATATATCAAGGTTTTATATTACTTTTCTGTCGTATGATTTGCACTAAATTTTTAATTCTCAAAATATCTCAATTATTTTACTTATGTTAATTAAGTCATTTCAATTTAATTAAGGCCTGTTACATTGACTATTTTTTGAAATCGGGAATTTTTCACAGGAATTGTTCATTTCATTCTAATAAGTTGTCTGTAAATCCGATAAGAAATTCATCACAACAATCTGCAACAGTATTCCGACTTCGTGGATCTTCGGATGGTTATTGTACTGTTGGAAGATTATATGAAGAAATTCCGGAAGGTGGAATTTTCAACGCTACGCAATTCAACAATTCCGTAGCATATGCATCGAGACGGGAAGTATGACATTTTTTTGATATTTATTTTGAAAATGTATATAAAACAGGTATACATCGATAAGTAGGAGTTGTGCTTATTTCAAACATACTTTCGCTACTTTGACAGATTATAAAATAATTAGGAAAGATTGCCTAAAGTATAAAATCTTACAAATTGGACGAAGTTGTGAATGTGATTTTCTTTCAGCTTTATTGTATTGATCCATTTTTAGCTACTTTGTGGGGTATCATCAGTGCGAAGGCCGCCACCAACATGTCGTCCACCGCCACCACCCATTCAGGATTCTCCACTTAGTCAAGATTCATCCGGAAATTCGACAGAAAAGGAACATAATGTGATACATATCGTCTCATCTCCCAAACGGTAAAATTTCCCACATTTGACTTTATTTTTTTCAGTGGCGTTAACTGATAGTGGAAACAACGTGTTGTGTGATATTGTGCAAAACAAAAAATTGAACAGAATTTTCTTCTCCATTTCTTAAATAATATAAATATTCATTACAAATTCTTTTTCCTGAAATTTGAAACCATAATTATTTATCCATATAACATGTTATTTGGCGTTTATTTAATCTAATTTAAAATAGATTAAGAACAAAGTTTTTATTTAAAGTTAAAACCTGAAATGATTAGGAAGGAAAAATAGGTAAGCATACTATATAGGTAGATAGCTGCGTCATAATTATTTCTTCCAAAATTTCTTCTCATTTATTTATTTATTTTTTCTTTAAAATATGAATAAATAAAGGAAGGCGCAAAATGCTCGTATCAAAAAGGCAGGCGTAAAATGCTTATATCAAAAAAGACTATTTAATTCAACTACAATAATTCATACATTTCACAATTCAAAACTATCAGAAAGTGAAAGTTTCGAAATCTTTCACATCTTGTAAATTGTTGTATACATAAATTGTTGAAAATTCGAAGTTTGAAAAGAAACGGAATTGTTACTTACATAAGGAAATTATGATCACTCCTTTATTGGCAGTTAAGATGATAAGATGATAAGAATCTAAATAAATGTGCAATTGCGACGATGAGCTGACAATATTGTTTAAAGGAGAAAACATTAATTAATGCGCATTTTGCATTAAATAAACTTTATTAAATTAAAATTACACATTCCATAATTGAAATCACAAGAAATTGTAAGTTCGCTGTAAATTATAGCCTTTTAAAAAATTAAAAAAAAAGATTTATTAATTAATCATTAAAATGCAACAACTTTTAATGCAATTAAACGATGATTAATTAATTTAAAAAAACTCACAAAATAATAGCAAAAAATTAGTTACTTTAATTTGTAATATTTCTTACTGTAAGGCATGTTGTAATTTTGATATGACAAATTTTTTCAGCAAAGACGATAGGTATTATTTGTATCGCATATATTTTAATAAATTAAAATATTGTAAAAATTTGAAAAACGTTTTTTTAATTTTAGGCTAATTTTAAAAATATGAATTTATTGTTGATGGATGATAGAATGTAAAATTTCAGTTCAACTGATGATGAAAAATCACGAAATTCCAGTAATTCAGGTGATAATGGTCATGAAAGTGGCTATGGTACCGCACCGAGTAGATCATGGAATAGTCCGATGATTATGCAACAGCAAAGACGGTTGGTATTATTTGTATTGCATATATTTTAATAAATTAAACTATTGTTTTCTTTTGTCTAAAAGAAACAATTCTAATTCAGTCCTTAATTATTATGCATTAGCAAAGATGGTCGGTATTATTTGTATCGCATATATTTTAATAAATTATGCCATTGTTTTTTTTTTTCAAATCTAAAGGAAACAATCCTTATTCGATCCTAATTATTTCTGATGATTGTTTTATCTTCATTATATGAGAGTACATTTGGAAATATTTCAGAATTTCGTTAAGAGAATCAGAAGATGCGCTTCGTCGTCAAACACCGCTAGCTATTTATGCTCATCGTAGTAATGCTCATCCAATGACCTATGTTTAATTTACTATTACTACTACTACTACTACTTATTGTTAGAATTATGCTTTTAGGTATTATTTGTATTTCGCTTTCTTGCAATTTAAAAATTTTCAATAATTAATTTTATTTGAAATAAATTAAAAATATCGAATTAACTTTAATGAAGTTAAAAATTAAAGATCTATTCATTTTGCATAAATTTTATTTAATTTCTGCTCAATATTTTCTTGCTTTCAAAAATTTCAATAAATTAGCAAAGGAAATTTTAATTTAATGATTATGTATGCGTGCATAGAAATCTGATGTATAATTTTGGTGTTTTTCATTCTGAAACTTTGATTGTTTTAAATTCGATTAAAATATATACCATAAAATAAATTATTGAAATTTCAATTAGATTTTCATTTATTCTTATCATTATAGACGGTACTGTAAAATAAAAGGCTGTCATCAATCATTGAAAAATAAGGTGACAAATTTTTGATCATTAAAGATAATAAGACGTGAAATTTTCAATTATTCGAATAAAATAGGCCAATATAGCATGATTTTGGAACACCTTTTATGGATGTTATAAATTATTCAAAATTCAGAATGGAATAGAAAATATAATATTTATGCATTTTAATATAACAGCTGTAACCAATTAAGAGGACAAAATTAAATTAGCCGAAGACATATCAGTTAGTCTCTTTCAATTTCATTTCAAATGTAAAATCTGAAAGTAAACATGAAATTTCATTCATTAAATAATAATGCACTTCATTATGTGATAAACTATCATGATAACATTTTTCAATCTATTCAAACTATAAATTACAACATGTTATCAGAGCGATGATATGAAGTTACAGTAACGATTAGTAATGATTGTTACAGTAATAGATAAGGTCAAAGATGATGAAGTAACAGTAAGCTTAAACAATTCATTATTCTATTTTTTATTTTTGTTAAATATTCAAGACGGTTAAAAATTGAAGTCAAAATAAAAACATTGCTATTCATTACTGTAATAATTTTCTAATCTGTAGCTAATCTTATTACTACTGTAAAAATCATTATACTATAATGAGATGATTTAAATGAGGCCAATATTAAGATTATTTTTGAAAAAGATTTTTCTTTAGCAATCATATTCGAAAGAATCAGTTAGATAAGAATTACTCATAGAATTGTAATCGAAAGACTTAAAATAAGAATATATGAATTAAAAAATAAATATTATGATAACAATAAATCATTGTAATCGCATCACTATAATCATAATCATTATAATGATTAAACGATAATTGTTTTAAACTGAAATTTTCTTTGAAATATTATCAATTACATTTGAATTTCGAACATTTTACAATTTAGCGTTTTCATGAATAGTTAAAATGAAATGAAGAATTGTAAGAAAATATAATCGAAAGGCTTGAAATACGAATGTATGAATTAAATAATAATATTATGATAACAATAAATCATATGTAAATACATCATTATAATCATAATCACTATAATGAATAAACGATTGAAATAAGAATATATGAATTAAACAATAAATATTATGATAACAACAATAAATCATATGTAATCACATCACTACAATCATAATCACTATAATCACTGATTAAACGATAAATGTTTTAAATTGAAATTTTCTTTGAAATATTATCAGTTATATTTGAATTTTGAAAATTTTACAATTTAGCATTTTACAATTTTGTGAATAGTTAAAATGAAATGAAAGATAAAAGTAAGCAAAATATTTCCTGACAGGTTTCCAAATGAATTTGCTACCAATTTTCAACAACAAAAAATATGGCAAAATTAGAAAATTGAAGAAATTTAATTTTAAGTTAATTATTTAATTACCAATAAAATGTAGCAAATTTCATTCCCTTTTTGTTTCATCTTTTCAAATATCTTAAAATCATTCAACAATGAATTCATTGGTTGCACTCAGTTGATTTATGATCGAAAAACGAGCTCTCAAATCCATCGAAAATTGCTCATTGGATGAAATTTGGTTCATGTGAAAATGGACAGCAAAAATTTTATTGTCATTCAGTTTATTGACTAATTGATGAAACTTAAGAATTTCAATGGTTTGATGTTTAAGAATCTTTACCGATTAATATTAGTGGATAAGATATCTCCATTTAATATTATGGCTGTAAAATGTGAATTACGAATGGTGGATATGTGCCCTATTTAGACTTTAATTGCACTTGCCTGCAAAAGTAATGAAACTAACTTGCATGCAAATTCTACGATAATTTAATTAAATTATTATAATTACTATTCAATTTAATAGCAAAGTGTTATTTAAATTTTAAGTGTTTGAAAGTGCTATTTAAACAACTTAAACAACTCTAGAATTACTTTAATCCAGAACACAGTGAACTTATCTTATACGTATCTTATACATTATAAGGTAAGTTGTATCTTATATGTATCTTATATCTGATTGTATCTTATTATTTTTGTATCTATTATTATGTATCTATTATCTATTATCTTATTATTATTGTATCTTAAGTTGTTCTTATGTGTACCTTATACATCAATGCAGAAATTTATGTCTCTGAAAAACCGTAGCAGATATCTCCGACTTCTTCATTTGCATCTAATCCGAAATCTCACAGAAATTCGGTTCATATGCAATGCGATACTTCCTGCTTTCACACATGTAATGACTTATCCTGGCAGATTTGTAATATTCCTTATTTTTATTATAATCTGACAAAATTGATTACCTATTCCAGTGCATTTGGTCATTTGGAATATCATGTATTATCAGAAATCACAACACCTGGAAAGCACTTTCTCCTTACTTCTTTTCTATGAAATTTTTGAAAAATTTCGTCCAGGATATTTACCGCCAAGAGTATGAAGGAAAGCATGACCACTCCAATGATACGCATTTTAGGCCCATTATCAACATGATTTAGATACAAATTATTAAACTTTTCAATGATGTTCCGCGTATTGTGATCGCACCGGTTAACATCGACGAGAAGAGAATTAAGCACAAAATAACGATCAGAAAAATTCATATTTAATTTTTACCTCCCAATACTCTTCTTACATTTGCTCTAGTTAGGCAACTTTTCATTATCCTGTCATCATTTTTCTACCGAATACTGTAGTTTATAAGATGTCACATACCACGAATACATGTTATGTGGTTCTCAAATAACCAAACGAATGCCACGTTATTATTCTACTGATATTTTATCACCTGAATTCTCCATAATCAAGCAACAAAGATTCATTGCGATGTTTATCAATCGAACTCAAATTGAGTTCCTTTTACATCCATCAACGATAACGTAATTCACTATCCTAATTTATATTGTTTTCTGCAATGTACGAAAAATTGAGTAATCAAAAATAAATTTAATGCTAAACTTGTTGCCAAAGAAACAAGGCTTCTGATATCATTTTTACCACAAAGCAAAATAATAGCGGATGAAAGATTGGAAGTTATATTGTGAAAACATTAAAGAAAATGAGGGGAAATCCGCTTTTCAGAAATAAATCTGTGAAATCGACTTAACAAAGAAATTCTTTAAATTATTTATTGTTTTATTTTATCAAAATTTGAATTGAATACAAGTAACGTACATTCTTTTTGAAATATGATTGAGTGGTTGTATTACAGTGCACACTAACCGTCACCAAAAAGACAAACCCTTATGCACTGGCAATATTGGTAACAATTATTGAAATACTGATAATGAACATAGNCAATAACTTCTACTTCTCTCCGGTTCTGCATGTGTGAAAGGTCACATAGTTTGATTTAATTTCGTTTGAAACAATTTACCGATTCTTCAGTAAAATAATCGTTCAAGTTTATACTGTAGGTATGATATGGAAATCATTTCAGATGAGCGCAGTCTTCTTATCTCATATTTGTTGGATAATTTTACTGCTTCCGATACTTCATCTCTTGTTGAATTTTTTTAAAGCTTTTCTCATATTGGGTCACATTTTTCTCCATTATAAAGGTATTTGTAAGAGTAGTTCAAACTTTTTCGGTGAATTGGAGAAAGTGCTCTATATCTTTTCATCTTCGATGATTTTAGAGTTTTTGAAAAAATAATCCAGAAACTTCGATTCTCCGAATTGTGAAAGTTTTTTTACACATTTAGACAGATAACACTTTTTCAATTCACTCGCAGTATCGGGAGTTGTTGATTTCCTTTCGTTACAAATATATTTTTCTATTGCAGAATCGGTGATACAGTTTCTCATTTTGTCTTTTTTTCAAATTTCCAATCGGTGTTTTCATTCATCTTACAAATCACTATGTTCATTATCAGTATTTCAATAATTGTTACCAATATTGCCAGTGCATAAGGGTTTGTCTTTTTGGTGACGGTTAGTGTGCACTGTAATACAACCACTCAATCATATTTCAAAAAGAATGTACGTTACTTGTATTCAATTCAAATTTTGATAAAATAAAACAATAAAGAATTTAAAGAATTTCTTTGTTAAGTCGATTTCACAGATTTATTTCTGAAAAGCGGATTTCCCCTTATATGACTCTTTCATCCCCTATTACTTTGATTTCATGATAAATTCTTCTCACGTCATTGCTTAACTAGTTAATAAAATGACTTAAATAAATTTGTTAATGGCTTGTTTGAATGATATCAGAAGTTTTGTTGCTTCCATGATAACTTTACGATTAAATTTATTTTTGATTACTCGATCTTTCGTACATGGCAGAAAGCAATCAATTAGAATAGTAAATAACGTTATGATCGATGGATGTAAAAGAAGACTCAATCGAGTTTCACGCATCGATTGATATTCTTTTTCTAACCATCGCAAGGATAAAAAAAAAATTTCTTTTAGTAATCGAATATAAAGATTAAGAAATTAATGTTAGATTAAAGGAATCTAGCTGAAAAGCGGGATTGTAGCGTTACGAATCAACAAGTGCATTACAAGAACCTGATTTGAGAAAAGGCTAAACCAATCTCAATGAATAAAAATGTATCGCTTTAAAGCGTATTAGGTATGAAGAGTGAAAATTCAAAATGAAGAATAAAGGAATGATGAAAATAAGTGACCCACATCATTCATTAAACAGAGTTATTAGGCATAATCAAAGCATCTGATTTCTTAAAAGGATTTCCTTATAGAAAACGACCTTTGTATCCAACAATAAGTTAGAACTAATTTCGGCTAACAACAACAATTCAAGTTAATTAAGACTTTGGATAAATGAAAAAACGATAAAAATAATGCATCGAATCCAAATGTAATACTCAACATCATGTTAATCGATAATGTCGAAACACAATACAACTAATGGTGATTGCATTTATATTTTTCAACAAAGATGAATTATAAGAACAACCAAGATCAGTAATTATTTGGCGACAGTGCTTTAAATTGTAACGGCATGTCTTTCAATTAACTAAGCTGCTGCTATATAGATAAGAGAGATTGATAAAAATATCCTGATGTTCTCCAAACTTCTGGATTTCATTCTTTGACCACCTTTAAGAGCTCTCACTCTTTTAATTTCCATACTGTCTTATAAGACAGTCGAAAATGAAAAAAAGTACATGAAAAATTCGTAGAACTATTTACATACTAATGAAAGTACTTCGTCTTTCCTGAAAGGCTTATTAAAGGCATGCACTCACGATTTTTATAAGTGCAAAAAATAATCTAACCTATTCAAAAAATAATCTTCACCTAGAACAATTGCAATTAAATAACTATATATTTCTTTGCTGATTGTCCTTTATGAATTTGGAAATAATTGGTGCTCAAATCTTAAATAACAGTAAGCAAAAAAACAGTAAATATCAAAACGACAAATATGGTTATTTACAATGATGTTATCCCATTAATCCGCGAAAGTGTCCTAGGAACGTGAGTGGGAAGTGAGGGAAATAAGATATCAGGAAAGTCAGCCAGTGATTTCCTAACTGGTTGATCATTTCACTAATTTTAATACATACTATCTTGACCTAGTCTAGAAAACACTAAAATTATTCAGCTGCAAAATTTCTATAATGAAAGTAATCGATTTAAACTAACTGGACAGTACATCACGAATAATCGTGCAACGGACCATTATTGCCTCGGGAGAATTGATTGGAGTGTGCCTGTTGCGATAATGTAACACAGCAATAAGGAGAAAAAACATAAGGAGACTGTGAGGAAGATGTCTGATTCATCATGCCTGACGACATAGGATTTGCAGCGTTATTCTCCTGCGCATTAAACATAGAATTTTCCCGCATCGCTGTTGAAGGCATCGGACAAGTTTTGAAATAAAGCTGTCCAGGTGATGAAGGCGATAGTGAGTTGTCATGCTCAGATATAAAGAATAGATTGGAATCTTGATCCTTATACTGTGAAACATGAACTACATTAGTACCAAACGATTCTCCTCCATTTGAATGAACAGGTTCCAATGGATCTTTATGTTTCGATGGGTTTTCAATTTCTACCGCTTTCTGCAAAACATCATTAAAAAATTTTCGCTAAAATGACAATTTAAACGATTAAGTAAACAACGCCAAATGATGGCACACAGTTTCTTATTGCTCTGTCTAAGTGCGATATGGAGTGAGCTTTAAGAGCAAAACATTTTCGATTTATAAAAGTGATAGTTTTACAGCATTTGCAGCAGCTTCGTCTGAAGCAAGTCTTTTTGCGTCATATCTACCTTTTAACCATTAACATATTACGAATAAGATTTAAATTTAACGGATAAAAAAATTCCATTAAAGACTAACTTCAAAATAATCTTGCAAAACTTTGCTCTGTCGGAGAACTGGATGAGCAAGTACGTAATTCAAGAACGTTGTTATCGACGATGTTCGTCCACCCACAATTTGGGCACTTTGGTTTCCAAAAATAACGGCTTCTGCAAACTGCGGGAATGAACCATGTAGATGCAACTGAAAAAAAGGAAATTTTTCATAAGATTCTTGAAAAAGCAAAGTGGATGTAAAATATCACGCTAGATAGATATAGGGACTATTAAGTATAATTACCTATTAAAGTGCTTTTAGTTTTCTCCATTAAGTTCATTCTGCGTATGTCACTAAAAAAGTCAAAAAGTAGAGTGAATCTTAAGCTAAATAAATCATGTACAGTAGAGCTAGATTAGATGCTCAGAAGCTTTGATATTCGAGAATTGACCAACTCTAACAGTTGGTGTAACATTAAGGAGATTCGAGAAATACATACTTTTTTGTGCAAATCAGCTAGTTGTTCCCAAAGACGTTTCACATCTCTAAAACGTGTCCACATGTCGAAGCATCGTAAATTCCCTGCAAGGGAATTAGGTACCGCCTGCAAAATATGCTGAGAGATAACAATTAAAGAAGATAACAGATTATCTTTTTTAACCTTTTTGTTTTTATATTCACTATTCAGTCTAACCACAATCGCTATTCATTAGAATTTTCTGTCCAGTTGTCATGGCTGTATGATAGGGTTGGGAAAAAAACCATCTTTACGTATCCGTAAATTCTATAAATTCATTCCAAACAAGTAAATTTCGCATTTAGTTTACATAGCCTCCTCAATATAATAATTGTCCTAACCATTTTTTGTCAAGTAAAATTGTATCAAAGAAACTAATTGATAAAGTAATTGACTTACAGTAAGTGATATATGATATTCGGTATGAGAAGTGAAGAAATTCGACAGAGTGTTCGTAGAAACAATATCCATTTGGACAGACCATTCGTCCGGATTTGCATAAAGGATGCGACCCAGCTCATTTCTACAAGCAGTTGCATCCCTCAGCAATACCGGCATGATGTCCAATGGCGATTCTTCTAGAAATACAGAAATAAATTCCTTCATTATCATACAAAATTAGCGTGTTCCTACCAAAGATTTATTGTTTGAGAAGACAACCGCAGAGATCGCCTGAGACATCTAATATAGCCTATTACTAGTCAATGATATCCATAGTTTAAATCTGTTTCATATTATTCTTTGCTTAACATAATTATTCAAAAAAGAAAAAAAGATGTGAAGTTGAAAACATTAAAAAAATTTGAAAACTGAAAATGAAGGTGATTCTGAATCAGCGTAAACTGATTATGGTTAAATATTATACAGCCTGAAATTAAGGTCAATTTGAAAGTATACAATATCAAAGAAACATTCCAAATTAATCTTTTCTAAAAACTGGAAACAAACACCTTAAAACATCACAAAACGACAATACTGTGTGGTTTCTGTATATTCATTATTTCAAACAAGTTGAGAACCAAAAAATTGGCAATTCAAGAAAGTAAAAACTGAGCTCCGCACAAAATGGGGATTACAGTGGAACTTATTCAGATTATAAATGATATTAATTATCACAGTTTAATGAGAATATCAATGATGCCACAGACTTCACAATTGAAAACTGAGATAATAAAAACAAAATCAGATCCTTTACAACCTTTACAAATAATTAATCTTTGATAAATAATTAAATCGCACTTGATAAAACAACAAATAAATACACTCTACTTTGCAAAAAAAAGAATATAGAACGTGGTATGAATGAAACAAGGAGAAATGGATGAAATATACACTTACTAAACAATAAAAGTTCACAATGCGAACAAATTTAACAATATTATATTTATGAAAACATGCATTTAAGAGAAAACAGACGAGACATGAAAGTATTAAAAAGAAAAGACGAAGTATGGTAATGCAAATGGCAATCTAACTACCAATAATCTATGACAAGGAGATGAATGATTTATTGAAGACACTATCATAATTTTCTTGTTACAAATTCAGTAACATATTCCTCTTTATTTTCCCATTATTCGGTTTTCCTCCAATTCAGCAAAAACAAGACTATTTGAAAATCCTTTCCTTTCCCTTTTATAATAATTGAAACGCAGGCAATTAATCAGCTTCAGCAGTACTGCAGAATCAGATTATCATAACATCTACCTATTCTACAATTCCTAAATAAAGCAGTCACTTTATGCTCACGCATCAAAAGTTTTCTTCCCTATTTTGGCAAATAGGGACAAACACCATTCATCATTGAATGGTACTAATTCTAACAAATAAAAATCTTGATGTAGTTTGCGCAAATTTTAATGTTCATCGCTGGATTATCGATCAATTTCTCCGAAAACAAGATCCAGAGTACCAATTACCGCTACAACGTCTGATAACATAGACAGGTGGCATATATCATCAATTGCAGCAAGATGCGGAAATCTGAAAATGCAAAAATAAGCAACACAATACGCTTAATAAAAACAATACGTCAAAATTTGAGAAGCCTGTCAAAAAAATACCCAGGCGATCGAGCAAAACATCGATAAGGCCTTGATTCACCCTGTGACACCAAATAGACACCAAATTCCCCCTTGGGGGCTTCAATTGGAACATAAGTAGCACCAGGTGGCACCTGATAACCTTCGGTGAAATATTTGAAGTGATGTATCAGTGATTCCATACTTTGCTGAAACATTGCAATTTATTCAATTTAAAATGAATCAAACCCAATAAACTAAGAACCACTCCCTTTGCTTAATACTGTTATCATCACTGTCACAAGTATGTGTACAACTTAAGATAAATTCATCTACTGGCGCGTCGTGATTAAAACAAACATTATGTATAAAATAAAATTAATTCAACTTTACCTTCATTTCAGCACGACTAGGAGGAACCACTTTATGATCATCAATTTTAATCTCACCAGGCGGCATCTTATTTAAACATTCAAAGACAATTTTCATACTTTCACGCATTTCTTCCATTCTTATTAAATATCTGCAATGAAAACAAAAATATGTACCATACAATTGGATAAAATTTCGAATACGGCGGACCTTTACCTATCGTAGCAGTCTCCTTTTATGCCGACAGGAACGTCGAAATCCACTTGATCATACGCATCGTACGGCTGTGCTTTACGTATATCCCACTTAATACCGGATCCACGAAGCATAACACCAGAAAAGCCCCAAAGCAAAGCTTCCTCAGCTCTAACAAGTCCGATGTCTACAGTTCTTGACTAAACACATCAGGAAATTAAACAGAGTAATCACAAATTTTACATATTTTTGTGATTTAAATGCTAAAAAACAAAAGTGAGTATTTTCGATGGCACTGTAGATAATCCACAAAATATCAACATCTCTACCGTGAAGATGCGGTTGTCTGTCAACAGATCTTCCATCATATCCAATCTCTGTGGAAACCGCAGTGCCCAGTCGTATACATCATCCATCCAACCAAGTGGTAAATCCCATGCAACACCACCTGGACGAACGTAATTTGAATGCATTCTAGCTCCACATACCCGTTCACTGAAATTTAAAAACCATAACAGTATAATACATAAAAACTGAAAGTTCGAAAATGCAGAAAATTCATCACTTCAGCTTGACCGAACTATTTGCTATTTTTCTGGAATGTGCCAAAGAAAAGCAAGCAAGATGAACCACAACCTTTTATATTGGAACTTTAATATTCCCTAAAGCCTCGCACTACAGTTCCTCAAATAATATTCAAAAGAAAAATAAGGTTTAACTAAAAATAATTAATTTGGCTTACGTTAACTCAAACATCTTTTCACGTTCCTCAAACATCCAAAATAAAGGAGTCATTGCACCAATATCCAAAGCATGTGTTGTAACGCCCATTAAATGATTTTGTATACGAGTCAGTTCATTCATCAGAGCTGCAAATGATGTCACCTGATTATTAGCATAAATGTTAATCAAAACAATTGATGTCAATAATGACGATCAATCAGATGTTCTTATTAATGGAATATGAATACATATGTGTGAGAAATTATCTTATGTATATGCAAATTAAAATTTCACGACAAATCGAATGCTTGAAATGCAAAAATCTAGCAGTGAAATTTATCTGACTTACATGATTCTCAACAATATCAAAAAAATGTATCAGCGAGATTGGAATAGAATAATTGAAAATTCAGCAATAATACAATACCTATTCATTAGACAGGAATTAATAAGAAAAAAACTGGAAATTCTTTTATAAAAAGAAACTTCTGATAAATTTAGCTCTTGGTGGAATATCAACTCCTAATAATTTCTCAACAGCAAGTGCAAATGCTGTTTCGTTGCACATCATCGATACGTAATCCATGCGATCGAAATATGGTACTGCCTGGGTATAAGTCTTGTATTCAATCAGTTTTTCAGTGCCACGGTGGAGAAGACCGATATGTGGAGTTGCTTTCATTACCATCTAGAAAGATCGAAATATGTTGTAATTCACTGAATTCTGAACCCAAGTTCGATTACGAACATATTCAAGGTGCAGTGACCTAAAAGTTAAATTTCCCAAAGACGTAAATACTTCCCAGATTAAAGAAAATATCAGTTTCTAAAAAAGTTGGTAAGGTATTCATCAAAGAAATAATATCATCAGCATAATTTAAATCCACATTTGAACTTAAACTGAAATCTGAACAATACTTCATGGTCTAATTCGAGTATGAGACGAAGAACTCCATGTGCCGCCGGATGTTGTGGTCCAAAATTGAGGAAGAAGTAATGCAGCGGCTTCTCATGCATTTCACTTAAGTCAGGCAGAACCGGTTGCCAACTTAATTTCTCAAATACTTTATCAATTCCAACATTCTTATCATACTCTGTCGGCTTTGGCATCCATATCCGTCCAACGACACTTGCTTTCTGAAAAATGAGTGCAACAAATGAAGACTTTGCATATTAAAACTTCAAAAGGTTTCTGTAAAAAGTTCAAGCTCTTCCAAACAAATCTGAATGACATCCAGCTTTCTTCTAGTTAAAATGAAGCAGACAAAAACTATGCAGCTCACATAATATCCAGAAGCCTTTCTCCAAATTTCCTTTAAAATAATGTGACCTTGAATTCACGCATAAATTCGGCATCAGGAAACCACAGATTATGCGAACCACGTTTTCCAAACAATAAAGTATTTGGTATTGATCGAGTTATTTGCGCTAGTAAGAATCTAGCTTGCCCCACTGCATTCATTCTTCAGTTGAACTCCTGTGAATTATTTACTTATATAGCTAACGTTATTATCAGAATTAAGATAATGTAATACAATATATCTAGTAAGTCCATACATATGAACTAATATAAGATTTGATAACGATATAGTTCTATGTATGCTCGATTGAAGAATATTGCCTTGAGTTATACGAATTATTATAACCTGATGAAAAAAACAATCTATAACAATACAAGGTGATATTTCCTAATCTTCATGAAATGCATGTATTTTCTGTCTTTTATCTTTTAAGTATCATTTTCTGCATATTAGAATTAGATGTTTCGTTTCTTTCGGATAACTGCAATTAAATAACAAATCAATATTCCAACTAATAGTAGTCTATTATTACTATCGTAAGAATCTACGGCAACACCAAAATCTTCTGAGTACTTTTTCGGAAGAATTTAAAATAAAATCCTGATGGAAAATATTCAGTATCTCAGTTGAATAATTAATGATGTATGATATGTTCTATGTGGTGATACATATTAGTTCTCCAATAACTTTCTGATAGAAAAAAAAGAATGTTTATCAAGCACATTAGAGATAACATCATTAGAAATGAGATTGGAAAGGCGGTTTCGCAATCATTCCCACTAACATCACTACTACTCAACCGCCTACTTTCACTCCTACGACAACATAACACCGCCATCCCCGTGATATGCATATCATCAAATTGAAGTGATATCTTTCGTTAGGTGTGGGCACGGCGTATTTTCTCTTCTCTTCTGAAGTGAAAAAATAAAGCAGCAAGAAGAGTTATCGAAAAGTTCACAGGTGCAAAGTTATCAGCTAAGTTACATTTTTCTATGAACTTTTGTTTACTTCCGAACTTTGTACTTTGCACGGATTGTGTGCGTAAACATTTTTTCCTATTATGTAATAAGTGTATTCATAGGGCTTAATGACCCCGGTTTCAATTTCAGACTTGAAAGAAAAGGAGCAAATATAGTACAGGTGTGCTGAAAAAAAGTATATTGATTTTTGGAAGAATTCCGGATCAAAGGTTTGTCATTCATTTCTTTTATAGATTGATCGGTGACTTGTTCATTGTAAGTATTATAAGTAAATGGAGTAGAAGCCATCACAGGTGTAACACAGAGTCTACCTATGTTGAAATTTTGAATAGAAATACTAGCTTCTAAACCGCCGAAGAAGGGCAGGAAAAGAAGAGATCATTTGTCGTATCTTTATTAAGATTTTTTATCGATTCTGTATAATCTAGTACTTCGCATGCACAGCATGTCCGCAAAACTGATTTTAATTTGTTCTACACTTGTCTGGAATGTTAGGTTATGTAGAATATATCAACCTAATGTTCTAGTTGTTGAAGGCTTTGGAACTTCTAACATCCTCAGTCCTCTAGTAGTTTCAAAGTGACAAAATCGGACTTGAAAAATCGGTCTCAACGGTATTAGTTATCATTAATTTTGGGAATACATAAGTGCACTAAATAAGATCTAATAGATATGCAGGGCAACTAATCGTTGTTTTAGAACTTTACTCTTTTTCGCATCAATTCAAGTCACATCCTGTTCTCGCGATCTTTACGGTAATAGAGAGGTTCACTCACTTTCATGATTGTATTCATTCACTTGTGGACTTCAGATGCTTTCAAACGTGAAATGACGATTTCCATAAGACATGCAATCTCTTATTGATAACATCGACGACCATCTCGCCTCCATTGACTAAGGATTGTTATTCTCTTTCTAGAAACAGTAGTTATGACATACAAAATACGGCCATTTATGATTATAGTATAGAAGTCCTTGCTTAATACACAAGATGAAATAACATAGCACATTTTTTTCGAAGTGGATTACATAGTAAATGTTTCTAGACGTTTCATAATACATCTTGTTTTATAGTACACGTATTACAGCGTGACATATAATTCACAAAAGTGAAAGATGGAAGAGGAGAATCGTAGATTCAAAAGGGAAAAGGAGGGAAGGGATGCGTCAACTATAAGACGAATTAAATGACCGAAATGTCCACAAAAAACCGCGCAGAAAAAAGGCGAATGCCAACTGAAATAGATGATGTAAACATCTTCTGAAGGAAGTATCACATACTCTGTGGTACTATCTTAACTGACCTAATTCCTTATTCTCTACTCTTTTGTAGTGTCAGGTTTTGGTATTATCTTAACTGACCTTATTCCTTATTCTCAACTCCTTTATAGTGTCAGGCTTTGGTATTATCTTAACTGACCTCATTCTTTATTCTCTACTCTTTTATAGTATCAGGCTTTAGCACACAGTGCAACTTCACTGACGGTTTCATTCTCTCTTTGCATTGTTCGCGCGGACTGTGGTCTTCGCTTCAGGTCACAATCGATATCACAATTCAGTGATGTCCAATGAACCTGCAGCTTCGAGTGAGCGTCAACCTCAATTTTTTGCCTCCATTTTTTTTCTCTCCCCCTTTTTTTGATATGACATGTCTTCTAGTAATGGATTTAGTTTGATGATAATACTTTGATGTTTGATGATATATACATTATATATATATATATATCATCAAACATCAAAGCTACCACTATATAGTACTATTATATATAAACATGCATATAGTACGCTTATACTACATTTAACAATTTCTCGCACACTATACTTCAAGATAATGCTCTTAAAATGCATTTATTTTCAAAATTTCCTACAGGGATAATCACAGCTACATTAACTTTAGTTATCACTCAAATTTGGCCTTTATTTTTTCATTGACATGCCATATCTTCATTTTGTTTGCTATAGCTGTTAGGATTATTAATCTTCAATGGTTGTTGTTTAGACTAGCCAGAATTGACTGACGTAAAATAGGACTTAAAACATATCCGGTTGTGATGGAATATGCAGCATTTTAATAAGCTTTTGTAATTTTAAAACAGTTATCAGGTTTTATCTCTAATTTCGATTTTATTGTGGCGAAATGTATATATTATCACATCAAAAAAACTCATTCTTTATATGCAAAGTACCTGATGGAATTGTTAATAAAGAGTTCAGTAAAAAAGTAATGGAGCTTCTACGCTTTAAAAGTGAAATTGTCTTCATATTTCAATTTGTTAAATAATCAAATGTAATGTGATTTGCGAAGGATTTCGATTATTAAAATATTTAATATAGTTTGGATGACGAAAGCCTGAACTTCTCACCATCCTTTCACTAATTTTCAGTGAAAATTTCAATCCCAAGTGCTAGACATAATTTTCGTATGAAATGGAAGCGAGCACTGTGGAAACTGCTGCACTTCATGGTAAGGATTATACGGGATGCAGTTTCGTTTTTCCGTTTTTAATTTTCAGTTTTTTTGCAAACAAGTTTAAATTTCATTCACGATAAAGTGCTACCACACGAAAATAGGAACAGATTGCAACAACTTCTGTGAAACTATGAATTTTTGTCGCGTTTACGGAACTAAAAAATTTTTTACTCACGATGATTCTTAGCCGTTTTCCAGAACCATCTTCAGCTTTTGATCCGGATCGTGAAATGAAGGATCGTAAATTGGCTCAGATATTCAAAAAATTGCACATGGAACAGGTGAGCTAATGCTTTTTTTCCTAGAAACTGCTGTAAAATTTGTCGTAATAGACTAATATATTCAAATTAAATAATTACAAAACACCCATATGGTTTGGCTATTTCCTATTTAAATTTGAAGTGTTAACAATAAACAAGTTTGCAGTGGTATTGCCGAGAACCCATTCAAATTGCATCATTTCCACCTCATTTATTCTGCAGCTACTTAATTTTGTAAATATCAGTTCATGTGATGAAAGATATGTAATGCAATTGTAATTCATCCTTAAATGTTTTACTGTTTCGGACTTTTTAAGTGCATTCTGTCCTCTTGCAGAGATAATGAAAGCCTGCTTACCTCATATTGAAGGTAGAATTATCATTTCTAAAAGACCGTTTTTTAGTGACCGTTTTCACTTAAAACTTGTTGAACTTGTAATTGGAGGGAAATAATGTACGCCTGAAGCTCAAAATTGATGAACGATGCACGTATATAGCGTCTTTACATTGCTATTCATATATATATATATACTAAAATGCGATTATTTCTCTTCTTTTAGGATTTAAATACGCTGTTGGATCTTGATGACACTGTTCCTCGCCCATCAAAAGTTGCATTAAATCATGTAGAAGAACTGAATACGGACAAAGTTGAGCGTTGTCGGCCGCGTAAAATACTCGATTACGCTGTACTGGCCAAAGGACAAGGTGAATATCGTTTTTATCATCCAGTTATCATTAGCTTTTCGGAATTAGTGAACAAATTTGTTATTTTACTTTTATTTTTGTTCAAAAACTGTGAAATGAAAGGTGAATAGACTAGCAAAACGTACCTTTGCGTTGATTAATAAATTGAAGAACTTGTTGCACAACACTAAGAATACCTTTTATAACTGGGACAGTTTTTTTTCAGGCTATCGTAATAATCTTGTGGGATCTTTTGCAAGCAGCTATTTAGAGACAGGTGGCTCCAGTAAAAGTGGTGCTGGCTCCAAACGAATACGCTTCCAAAAAGATCAGTTTGATGATAACATCCCAACGTTCAATGTCAAACGGCGTTCGCGATGTGTCCGTTATGCGTCTGCCCCCAAAAAGAATAGCAGATCGCGCCGCTTAACATTTGAACCGGCAGCAAATGGTGCCAAGAAAAAGGAAGCATCAAGATCACGAAGTTTTGCTTGTGCAACGAAAGGGGGTATCCTAAAAAGGCGCGTGAAAGATGCGGACAATATCAAGCAAGCATTTCTTATTTCAAAAAAAGTATTAGATGCTCAAAATCAGCATTTTAAAGAATTCATGCTTCCTGAAAAGTGGATCAAAGAATCAGGGAAAAGAAAAAAAGTGAAGAAAATGAAATCTGGAAGAGAAGAGAGTACCAGCAGTGCATCTGTTGAGGATTTGGCAATGGAGCGCCTCGTAAGGGCATTCAAAACCGCAAAACTTTTATATCCCGAAAAATTTGCTGAGTATTTTCCAGATTTCATGCATTGTTTTGATTCAAATGATAGCAAAGAAAAGCGAAGTAAAAAAAATGGTGTTATGTCGAAACAAGCGCATCTTAAAACTATCAAAAGTGAAGATGCTATGACGCTCGACAGAAATATTGCATCGGATTCTGGCGATGACCTACCAAAAAGAATTCGTAAGATGCCGAAAAATTTGCGAGAATACTCAACAGATGTTGAAATAGCGAGGAAAAAGCTGGTTGGTTTGAAGGAGCAGATCCCATCAGTGACACAGAAGATTCCGCGTATTCGTGGTCCTTCAGCGGGCACTTCGGGACTTCGTAAGCGATCCAAAACATCAACAGATTTATCGCCGAATCAATCGTTACTTTTTAAATCTCAGCAAAATGAAAAAGCAGAAAACACCAAAGAAGTGGGAGATTCGGAAGGAATGGGCAGAGTTCCGACACTAAAGACGCGTAGGCGTGCTAAGAGTGGTTTTCGTTCCAGTCTGACGTTGAAAGCTACCAACGTTAATGCTGCTGTTATCCAAAACAACATTGAGGATAGTGCAGCGGAATCTTCATCTGATGAATCAGGCAACATGCGTTCGTCAAAGAGACAACGGGCTCAAAGTGGCTTCTATAAGTAAGTATTCTCGTGTCATTTGCAACTCTTGGTTTTACCCGAAGAAAGTCTCAAAAACAGGGTAATTTTTATGGGAGCTGTAAAATTGGCCTTGATTCTAAAAATCGGTCTTCAGTTGGCCTTGATTCTCATGTTTTTTTAGAATGAGAGCCATCGGTATCATTCCTCGACGGGTCTCAAGAATTAATTTATTGTTTTATTTATATATCTTTTTCTATGGATCTTGGAGAACGGTTTTCCATCCGTAAGTATCGGTCAGATAACTTAATTTATCTTTAAAATAATTTATTTGGTTTAGTTCAAGTGTAAGTCTTATTTTTCAGAACGATGGTGACATTGTACGATAAAAAACGTTCATAAGCGTTTGAACAATTCGTGGGTTGACGAAAAAGGAAAAGCAGTTGATTTGTTTTTCTTTTATAACCTGAATTGTATGCATAAACTGCGAACACTGATGTTTTTTTACTTTACAAACACTTTATTGTTCTTACAGTGATTTGTAGTATTTTAAACTGTATTCTAAATTTTGTTAAAACTCGGAAATCCAAATCTGATGAGAAGCAGTAACAATGATTGTTCGAATAGAGTTCATATTTTTTATTTTTTCAAGGAAATTTCATTTTTATTGAAGTTCTTTTCATTTATTGCTTGGCCTACTTTAAACAGTACGAAGTTATCTGGGTAAATTATAGCATACATCTCTAGATACATATCTGAATCTTGAAGAATTTAATTCTTGAGGAAGGACTTATTCATTGGTTTTATTGCTGGCTAAGTATGCCTAGTGCCATGTTGATCTCATCAGTGTTGTTCTTGTTTAAAATGAAAGCATACATTTGCGTTCGTTGACTATTTGTCACAATTTATTGTGGTTTAATTTGAAGAGGTTTTTGTTTTGACCTTTTAACATTTTTTTCGTGATATAATACATTTTATTTTACGCATTAGTACCATTGGTTTTCTCTTGTTATTTATTTTCTGTTAGAATTGAATCGTCGTGCTAGAGGTTGAGCGTAAATTTTTTCTTCCTTGTACAACATTTTAGATTAATCTAATATTGTGCAAAAAATTATCCAATAAATTTTACTGAGAAATCTTATAATACTACTGACAAGTTTTTCTGGATTCTGAGTTGGATTCTTTCGAAATTCAAGATGTATATAGTTTCATAAATTTTGAACAATTTTCTGTACTCTGGTTGCATTTTGTTAAATCTCACATTTCACTGTATTAAAGAAATTATGGCACAGAATATTCTATGTCTATTGAAATAGTAATTTGAAAACTAATTGCTTGCTGAAATAAATAGTAACCATAATGTTTACAAGATTGCTACTACAACAAAAAGGGTAATCAATAATATAATTCTCTAAATCACAGGAAGTAATTATTTCTAATGTGTGAGGCATTACACGAGGAATGAGTTTGTTAGGAAATATGTACAATGTAGAGATAGCTCAAAATATTGTTCATTGATTCGGGTACAAAATATCATTATGGCATTGCATACAAAAAGTAGAGTATAAAGTAAAATCAACAGTTCTGTTGATAAAGCATTTACATGCTTTATTATAATTACAAAAACGGAAAATACCTTTAATGATAATGAAATTAAAAAGAGTTAACCTCAAACTTTTGTACGATACTTTTTATTCCATGGTTTTTGCATCAAATTTGAATTAAAATCACAAGCAGGTAAAAATGCATAACAGGTAATATCCATTGCAGAAATAAGGCAAAATTGTGTAGCTCGAGCAATGTAACTATAAAAACCAGTACCACAAATAACATTACATGGTAATTCCATTTCTGCTTCACAAACATTATAGATCGCCTGTTTTGATGCTTCAGCGTCACGTTCCATAATATTCTTTAAAATAATTTAGCAAATGTAAATTATATTTATGGCTTATTTTTATCCATTTTAAAGTATTAATTAAACATCAGATAATTTTCGTTATTTCGAATTACAAATTCATATATTATTTTCATACATTCTTTTCTTATCAGAATATGAATTGTTAAAATATTGTTTATCAGTATATATAATTCATTTATATTCAAATTGATCCGATGATATGATATTTCTTTAAATATTCAAATATTACATCTTTTTTGACAAATGAATGATATTCTTTGAAGGAATTCATTAAAGCAATTGTTGAGAATCTAAATTTGATAAGAGATTGATTTTGATGAGAAGTTGAAAATTCGAGAATTTGATTTTGATGCCTAGTCATTTAATATTTGCTAAAAAAATTTCATATATCGTAAACGTATATGTAATCGTAAATATGATGGATTAAAATGTGAAAAATGATTTTTGTTTAAGGTAAAATTTATGCATAAGATAATTACAAACATATAAAATATCGTACCTGTAAAATTATTTGTTTTTGACGAGGATTGTTGCATCGTGAATGTATTAATTGAAATGTGAAAAATGATTTTTGTTTAAGGTAAAATTTATGCAATAAGTTAATTAAAACATGTAAAATATCGTACTTGTAAAATTATTTGTTTTAGACGAGGACTGTTGCATCGTTCATCTTCCATGAAACCAAATAGATTTTCATTATCAATTTCACAATGATCACTAATGCAATCAGGCTGAATATCATGCTTATGTTATTTCTTTTTATGTGATAAATGAATAGATATTTTTTTAATATTTCAATTGTTGAAAATTTCATTTTGACGTTGCATTTTACATTTAATATCTATTAAAAATTTCATATAAGATGTGCACGTACCGTAAGTGTGATGGAACATATGAAACGTAATCGTACGTATAATGGAACATATTAATTGGAATATGAAAAATGATTGTTTTTTTAAAGATAAATACATACATTGACTTCTGTCGTATATGCTGTATTAACGTTATAATCATTGGGCATTGATTGTGATATAGGTTGTTGTTGAAAGCCTGCTCTTCCTGCGTATCTATCACCATATTTCTGATAATTTTCGGTATTCAGAATATTATTTTGATATATATTTTTATCCTGATAACCTGTAAAAAAAGTTTGTTGTGATGGAGGATATACTTTTACGATGTGTACTGATGCTTCGGTACTTCTTGGATTGGGAGGTGGCGGAAGACGTTCAACTGCTCCAGCTTTATTAGATACCATTTCCTGTACGGAATTCAAATTTGTTCCATACTGTTGATAGTCTGATGGATTTCGTGCAACTCCGAATGACTGCATTTCTCTGAAGCGTAAAATATGAATTATAAAGAGGGTGAAAAATAGTTCGAAGTTCAGATGATAAGAAAGTAGCAATTACCTGATTCGGGGAATGTATCCAGGTGGGCTACTGATCACTGATTCATTTACTTTCAAAAATTGTTTGCTCATACCATTCATATCATCAATTTCATCATATTCGCCTAATGTTGCTTGTCTTCGATTCTAAAAAAAAAATAGCTGGCGTTGTCACATTATCGTTCTGATAATCATAATATTAGTTGATAAGATAAGATTGTGATAATGATAAAATTGTGATAATTTCATTACGTGGCGCAAATGTAAATTCATTTCGTTCTAATATTGGTCAATATTGAAATTTAAAAGTGAATAGTATTGCACTTACATATTGTGGTATTATTTTGCCGTAATCAGTGATAAATGTTTCCCAATCGTTAAAGGTAATATTAGTCTAAAATATTTTAATCAATGATTGTAACTATTCAATATTTTACAGATCGTGCAAATTAAATATGATAATATATCGAGTTAGCATCGTTGTAGATGAAATGATTAACTAATTTTACTTTCATTTACTTGAAATTTTATTCGATTCATTTTTATTAATTACACTTGCAATTAACAATGATTTTTTTATGCAAATGATTCTTGCATAGATTTGATTGATAAGCACAGGTAGAAACACTGATAAATCGATTGATCAAATCATCAAATTAATTACAAATTGTTTTTATGAAGAGAATAACTGAACTAAAAATCGGAATTCAAAATTATTAGTAATAAAAAATTAAACGAACCGGATCGATTGAGCTCTCTTTATTTTTCTTTCGTCGATAATTTACGGCTGTTATCTTATTTCTGTCATCAATACTTTTGTTTGTATTCATAAAATTATCATCACCGTTATACTTCTGCTTTCTATCATGTAAATTTTGAATTTTCCGGAATGCCTATAATTTTATATTTTTTGCATATATATGGCAAATCAGGAATTAAATTCAAATTTCATGCATATCATTTATAAAGTTTGCCGATATTATTAAATAAATTTCGGCATTATTTTAATGCATAAATAATTTACGATTGTTTTTCAATCAGGAAGAAACCGATTCATCTGACCGGTATAATTGATAAACTAATAAAGTACCATGATTAGCCGATTCTTAATCCATTTTGATGCGATCATATTATTAATGCAGTCATTTAAAAAAATGGAAAACTTTATTCTATTGATTTTATTCTTGTTCCTTTAAGTTAGTATTGGCTCTTTTTGACGTATACATTTTGCGCCTTCTTTAGGCTATCAAAATTAAAGTATAAACAAATTATTTAATGAGTTTTAATCCTCCTTAAATTCGTTATATTAATTATAACGAATTGATCATTAGTTTAATTTACCTTTTATTAAATTAATAATTACATCCCACCTTATAAAAGCGTAATCGTCTTTCGCGTATTTTCTTCCATTCATCCAATATTTCTGCATTTTTTTGTCGAATGTTTAAGTTTGTCTCTATTGGATTGATTAGTTCAGGGGTTACTAAAGTTGTGTGATAACTTGGCTGATTTTTTGTTATACGATATTGCTCTTCATCATTTTGATGTTTCTCATCCGGTTTTAACGGATAATCTTGGAGTACATTATTGTTCAATTTGAACAGTACTAATTTTTGCGAATTTTCTTCCGAAAAATTATTAAGTCTTTCCAGTAGAGCTTGTCTAATACCGGATTGCTCTTCGTATTCATCTTTTATCAATGCTAAATCTTTTGAACGAAATTGCCTCAATAATGGCTCTAAGCTTTTGGATGACGGAAGAATTACTACAACAACGATGAATATTATTAATATTGCCATTAATCGTTGACCTGAAAATAATCAAATTAGAAAATGTGTGAAAGATAAGCAAAATTAATATATCATCATATTATACAATTATCGCCATAATAATATTGCAAGTTATCCGGAAAAGATTAACATCAGTAAAGTACGAGTAATATCAGGCATATTTCAAAAGAACCTCTTTACAAACGTTAGCTCCGGAAAAAAATTTATGCAGTAAATTTTTGCAACAATTGTTGAACTGATCAGTTCTACGCATTTTATAATCAATATTCTAATGATCCAACGATACAAGCGATTCTTTTATAAAACTATAAAAGTTAAATATGATATTTTCAAAAAGGTGTAAATTAAAAGAAAGAAAATCCTTACGAACATTTTTCTTAAACTTTCATTTCTGTTTATTTGTTTGTTTACTTTTCATCATAACACATTAATCAATGCTACAAATGATTCATTTATCAAACTATAAAATTAAATGTAATATTTTAAAACAATGCAAATTAAAAAAAAAAAAAAACCTAACGAACATTTTAATTTCCTTTTTTGTTTATTCTTCATCATTTTTGCAACAATTGATGAAAACCGATTAGCCTACGCATTTTATAATCAATAATAATAATAATACGTTTGAGTAAATAATATTGTTTAAAATTAGAAATTTAAAAATGAATAAAAAAAAAAATTAGATAGTTTCAAAATCACTCATTCATAACTTTTACATATCATTGAATTTTACGTATCACTGAATTATAAAAACGGAAAAAACAATTTTATCATTCAGGAATACGGAATGTTGTATATTGAATACGGAATATTGTACATATTATTGAATTTTACGTCTCATCGAATTTTAAAAATAAGAAAAAACAATTTTATCATTCAGGAATACGGAATACTGTTTCCGTTTTTTTCTTGTTCGATCAGAAAATCGAACAAGAAAATTTCAATACAACGAAATGAAAATGATTGTAGTAAATTTTAAAAAAAAAAAAAACAAGAGACAAATTATTAAAAATGAAAATATTAATGATTTAGTACCAATCTTTGAAAATATTATAAAACCAAAAATTTTTTCACTAAATGATGAAAAAATCCAATTAGGATAGATATATCATTCAAAATAGTTTTCTATGACCTAAAGTGTAATTTTAGAATGAATGAGGGCAATTCCTTCCCCTATATTTGAATATAAATATTTGAATTTTATTCTCAAACATATATTTTATAATATTTTTGTTAATAATATATGGCAATAGAATTATTGACCCAAATAGTGGGCGCTAATTTACAAGAAGTATGCGCGCATGGATACACACGATTTTACTCTTTCATCATTTATTCGACATTTATATTTAATATTATTGTTTGTTCATACTTCCTTTTCATCCTACCTGTAAAAATTCATGATTTCTTGAGTAGTTCATTCTTTATTACTATCAGTTCAAAAATTTATAAATTCTACTTTTGTGTTTATTTTTTTTGGCATAATCATATTTAAATTTATTTTTAACAAAATCAAAGAATGGTCCTTCTTTTAATAATACTAATTACCACAGCTTCTTGACCTAAATTCTAAATTCAACCCAAAAAGTTTAACCTAAAATAATCTCTCATATTGATCCTAAATTATTTTCTTTCCTGAACTTTTATAGAGAAAGGAATTTGTTAAATGTTGTTCATTTTCTATTTTTCATTGATAATTGTACTCATTCATTTATTAAAATAATTGTTGGCTTGGTAATTTTAATAAAAAAACGATTATTGATTGTTCAGAGAAATTGATTGTTATATGCAGAGCAATTGTTTGTTATATGCAAAGCAATTGATTGTTATATGTAAAGCAATTGATCGTTATATGTAAGGCAATTAATCGTTATGTGTAGAGCAATTAAGTGTTATATACAGAGCAATCAATTATCATATGCAGAACAATTCGTTATTATATGTAGAGTAACTAATTGTTATACGCAGAGCAATTGATTGTTATGCGTAAAGCAATTGATCGTTATATGTAGAACAATTAATTGTTATTTAAATTTAAAAAATTTATTTTTCAGAATACTTCGAAATTTTTTTAAGAAGAAAAATGTACGATGAAGTTTTTTCTTGAACTTTCAAAAGTTCAATTTTCCCAATTTATCATTTCATCCATTTTTCATTACGATATAATCGATAGTTTATCGATTAATTGTGACAGTCATATAAATTTTTATAATTTCGTTTTTGAATTATTCCTATTTTTTTAAATCCGATACTTTTATGCTACAAATAAATTATTAGAATTACAATTAATTACGACTGATAAGCATGTAAAAAACAATTGATGCCCAAATTTCAATTCCGTAAAAACGAATTATTCCTAAATTTCGATTCCGTAAAAGCGAATTAATGCCTAAACTTCAATTCCGTAAAAACGAATTAATGCATAAATTTCAGTTCCGTAAAAATGAATTATTGCCTAAATTTCAATTCACCTAATTTCATTTATTATCTATATTTTTCAAATATTCGGAATCATTAATTTTAATTAATTTAATTAACGTATTATGCAAAAAAAAATTTGCATGTTTCTTTTCTTGACTTCCTAAGAATTTTGTCTGCAATCTGTTTGTAGTAAGATCACCCGCTGTTACTAAAGATAACAGGGAGGAGAATTTATTTTGCCCTTGAACCGCTTTTTGTAGGTTCGTCGTCTTCGTCGTCATCATTGTCATCATGTTTCATGGTTTGCCGTAACCCTTCGCCTTTGATTGTAATATTTTTTTTTGCAATACTTAGAGATCTGATTTAAATTGATTAAAGTAATTCATTATTAGAATGCTCTAATGATAAGCTTTATTTCCGTTTGAGATATAAGCTTAAGCGATATAATATCCCTCCGATATAATTGAGATGTCATATGTTTGCTGTTGACAAACATCTCTGATTCATCTTAGTAGTTATCCGTCCACTAAGTGATTCCAGTTTTAAATTATGACAAGAAAATAATTGTTATTAATGAAATTTAATTTGAGAGCATTTTCTCAGTTTCTACAACGATATTTTCAATAATTATTTGTGGCGCACAATATCAGCTCCGGAAATGAATAAGAATTCAACGCCATTATTGATATTTATCGTACTTGTAATTGAACTTCTTGCATTCACTTCCATTTTACCACTTTTTCCAACTCTAATTGATTATTATGGATCAAATCAACGAAGGGTAGGTATAATAAGAAATAATATAAACTAGAAGTTATTAATTATTTATTATTATTCTTAATATAAGTAGCTTATAATAATATGTTAATTAATTAATAATTAATATGGAAATATAATACTATTATATTCAGTTAATAGTCATATTAATTGATGGTTAATTACTAGTTGATAATTAATTACTAATGAATAATTATGTTAGTTATTAATTAATTACTAACAATTAACAAATAATTATGTTAGCTATTGATTAATTAATTATTAATTATGCTAATTATGTTGATTAATTTTTTTTCCATTATTTTTTGCTCTTTGGAAGCGCTATTATTGCAAACTGCTTCAGGAATTGTCTTTATAATTTATGTGAAAATGTTTTAATTTTTATTGTTGAATAATTAACTTCGAAATATAACAAAGAAAAAAGAAATTATTAATTAATTTAAATTCTGCTTTTTTTTCAAATTCGAATTGAAATTAACTTTTGAATTTGTCATTAGAACATTTAGGTATATGAATTTTGTACAGAAAACTGCTCTATTAACTCTATAACCGGATAGATATGACATAGTACTATCAAATCCTATAAAAAATACTCAAAAGTTTGCAGTGCTCAGGAACATTTCCTGATATACGACTTTTATTAACGAAACTCGGATACATCTAGTGTATCCCAGTTTCCATCAATAAAAGCTAGATATTAGATTTAAGTGAGTTAGGAAAATTTTGTCAGACTGTTATAAAAGAAAAAATGTTTAAAGTTAAAGAGTTCCTGAAACTCTATCTCATGACCTTGTGATCTAATTATGAACTAAATTCATAAATGATATTTAGTAATTTAGGATCAGCTTTATGATGGTGTCGAAATGTTCTGTCAATTTTTTCAAAATGCCATCGGTATACCATCTTCAAGACGTCTTCATTTCGTCTTCTTTGGTGGTATCTTAAAATTCTATTCTTGAAAATGGATCTTTTTTGATGTGTACCTAAAAATTAATACATTTCATAACGAACAATCTTTTGAATTATTTTCAAAATAAATTTATCAAATATAATTTTTACAAAATAGGCTTCAAATATCAATCAATAAATTATTTATTTTAGGTATATTGGGATCACTTTATTGCTTACTTCAATTTCTTTCCTCACCTTTACTCGGTGCTCTATCCGATGTTTATGGGCGCAAGCCTATTCTACTTATTTCCATCACTGGAACATTATTTTCCTATGTGGTAAGTTGATTGTTTAATGATGAATTTTAATTTCAAATTAATTATCGATTTGAAAATATGAATGTGTTAAGAAAGAATTTTTGATTAAGGGCTCTTTTGATTTAATTATCAAAAAATAATATTTCTTCTTTTAGGTCTTAAACATTATAAATAGTTTAAAACAAAGAAAATATACAGTTTAATTAAAAAATTTTTTACTAAATGAAATTTTTCATTAAAAAATATTTTTAGAAATCAATTACTGTGTTAAAAAATACAATTCAATAATTAATTATAATTCAATGACAAAATTAATTACTGTGTAAAAATTATAACTCAATAGTTAATTAATTACTACATAGATATGGGCCAGTACAAGCAAGTTCAGTTTCTTCGTATTATCACGAGTAGTTGGTGGTTTAAGTAAAGCTAGCGTTTCAATATTCATTGCTGTTATGGCTGATATTTATTCGTCGAACAAAATTAACCGTGGCATGGTAAGATGTAATTAATTGCTTATAATCAAATTAAATTCAATGGTAAAGTAATACTGATAACATTAGTTTGGTAACTTTGATGCAAACAAACCAATGATAACTTTAATGACAATGATAATAATACTTTAATGACGAATGATATTTAATGATAACCAATGATAACCAATGATAACAAACCAATAAACGAACCAATGATAACCAATGATAACCAATGATAACTTTGATATAAGCAAATTTTTCTACATGTCATTAATGCCATCTAATTTTATGCAAAAATATCGATATATTGCTATCAGCATTATATTTTCATTATCTTGTCTTATCTGTGATAACGATAGTAATAACTTAGCCTATGCGTTCTTTTGATGATACCAATTAAAAAAAATTGGTATTATCAAATTTCAAAAAATTTTTAGGCTATTATTGGTGTAGCATTTTCGGTAGGCTTTTTAGTTGGTCCTATGGTTGGCGTATATTTTTCACGTATTGCTGCTGATGCTGGCACTGAATTTTCCGTTAATGCGATTGCTAAATTTGCTATTTTATTATCGATCATCGAACTTGCATTTGTTGCTTTAATCATACCTGAAACTCTTCATATCTCACAAAGGGTTAATTAGCTTTTTTAAGAACGAAAAATCACCAATTCATTATTCCATCGCGTTTTATTAAATGTTGAAAATTTGATGAAAATAAAATAAATTGAAATTATGCGAAACATTTTCAAGTAAGCAAATAATAAAATGAATGATCAAAATATTTATCAAACAAAAAACGATGATAATAATCATCTGATTAGATATCATTTTGCAAATGATAAAATAAATGATCAAAATATTTATCAAACAAAAAACAATGATAGTAATCTTCTGATTAGAAGATATCATTTTGCAATTAATAAACTAAATGATCAAAATAATTATTGCAAAGAAAAACGATGATAATAATCTTCTGATTAGATATCGTTTTTTTAGAAAACATTAATTAGTGAAGTATTCAAAAACTGTTTATTATATATCAAACCAGGTGCACTTTTCAAATTTGCTGCTATTGGCAGCCATCCTGGTAAGATAATTTTATCACTATTTCTTTGATATTATTAAACTACTAGAAGTACATAAAATATTTTGAGCAAAATTTCTAAAGTATTTGATAACTTTTATAATTTACTAGTAATTATTGTACGCCACAAAGAATAAGGGAAAGGTTAAATAACTTAAAAGGTCAAATAATTTGTTTATTATATTATTAAAAATACTATAATTTTTATTTTAGTAGAAAAAATTAATTCAATTTAATTTTCTTCAATTTCAATAATATTTAAGTAATGTTCAATTTAAGTAATATTCAATGATTACTTCAATCTCTAGGGTTGACGATTCAGGGGTGAAAATAATGCGTTCCTATGGACGAGTATATTTCATTTATATGTTTTTATATTCGGGCCTCGAATTTACACTGTCATTTTTAACACATATACGTTTTAACTATGACAGGTTTATTATAACATTTATTCATTTTAATTCTCTTATTGTTTAACTATTCAATTTAAATATCGATATTGCAAAATCAATTTTTAAATTATATTCGTTGATTTTTATATAATCTAAGTTTAGATATAACCGTTGTACAAAGATGGATTGATGAAATTGTTTTGTTTGTTTGATTAATTCATCGCTGTTAAATATTACTGTCAATAATAAAAATTGCAAGTTGTAATTATCATTAATTTTAATTAGCAAAAATAATGAAATAGCATTGTTGAAGAGGAAGATAGTTAAGTTATTAATTATGAGTTTTACTTACTTCAATTTTAATCACTTCTTTAAGCATAAGTTTATCAAGTATTTTTTTCAGCATGCAACAAGGCAAAATGTACTTATATATTGGTGTACTGATGATTATAGTACAAGGTAATTGATTAATCATACATTTGCACTTAAAATTCTTTAATAATAATTTAAAATTAATAGGATGATGCAAAAACAATAATACAATATTGAATGAACTGATGATACATTTAAATTTTAAAATTTTGTTTTGTTAATTAATTTTCCTTTCTTGAAACTGTTGACTTTTTGGGATGAAAATATAAGAAGGGTAAGGATTTTCCGAGCGTAGAAATTAATTGATGCTCGAATTACTAATTTTAGGTTATTATTTCAATTAGAATTTTTAATTTCAACTTTTCAATTTTTAATTTCAACTTCTGAATTTTTGAATTCGTTAAAAAATTTAAAATTCTCTATGCAAATGATTGATTATTAAACTGTATAGGAGTGATTCGTCGAATTCCGAACACTAAACAACATAGAACAGCCATGTACGGTATTTCATTTACCATACCGGCATATATTATTATCGGATATAGCAGTAATGTAGAAGGATTTTATGCTGGTTTAGCGCTTTATGCAATCGGTAAGATGTCTATTGAATTTTATCAAAAAATTTAACATTAGATAGATGTTAGGATGAATGATAATGACCATTTGACCATTTTTTTTCTCTCTCTGATATACTTAGCCGATCAGAAAAGTTGTTTGCAGAAGTTTTATTAAGATTTTCCTAATTTTCTCTCTTCTTTTTCCTCTTCTCTCTCTTCCTTACCTTTGTTTACATGGCAAATCTGTATTTATTCATCTCTGATCAGTTTCTTACTGAGGAAAAGGTTATATTGATGAAACTTCTTAAATAATTCGATTTTACTTTAATAATGCATATTGGTGATATCAGAAGCTCAGCATCAGGTTTGATAGTTTCATGTATCAATTTTCAGCATCAGGTTTGGTAGTTCCATGTATGACATCGTGCATATCAAATCAGGCAACAGATGATGTCAAAGGTGTTACAATTGGAGTATTTCGTTGTTTAGGTGCTTTAGCTCGAGCTATTGGCCCACTTTTTGCATCAACAGGTTTATCATTCTTCCAATACACTTAATATTTCCAACTATAAGAATTACTAATTTTGAAAATTTCATTTTTGGTAATTTTAGTATTCTGGCTTCTTGGTCCAACAGTATGCTATATCACTGGAGGAATTTTACTGATCATACCGGTAATTATGCTACGATATTTTTCACCGGCGATAGTTGCGATAAAAGAAGAGTAATGATGTAAAATATATGACAAATCGATATTTGCATCATCATTTAGTATTATATAGCATTTCCTGAAACTTCAACTGATATTTTGGTTCTCAGATCTTTTTATGCACTTGTGAAAATTTTCATTCCAATTTATCTGTACTGTATTTCAAGTTATGAACTTGTGCTCTGAACTTTCAGCAAATATTAAAATTCAATAAAAATTTATAGTATGATATTGATTGATAAGACTCAGTCACATCTGAAAGCATTATGTTATCATTTAACAAGTGCTATATATCTGTTCATTTAAACTTCCAAATAGAATATTAAAAAGACATTGATAATATTTGGATGGAAATTTAAATATCATTTATGTTTAAAAAAAAAAAGAAGGAAAAGAAAGAAAGAAATATGAAATCATACAAAGTTCAAAGTTCAATTTTGCAAAAGTTTTTCCTAAAAATGAAAAATTTGATATTTCGAAGGAATTAACAGCCAAAGTGGAATTTAGCAATTAAAGCCTTTCATAGTAATCATTCAATTACTATTCTAATTCTATTCTTTTCTTTTATCTATGCATGTGAAAAATTATTGTTACATCAACAATTTGCTATTACAATAAGCTTTTCCGGGGAAACTTATTGTAGAAGCAAATGAAAATCATAGAATTATTGATGTGACAATAATTGTAGGTATTAATCGAAATTTTTCTTTAGCATTACAACTGAAAAATTCTTTTATTGCTAATTTCATTTTTCCATTAATCATTCCGATGAAATCATATGAATCTAAATTATCATCCATTTGTAACATTCAGCATGAATTAATGAGAGATTCTTATCATAAGATTCTAATGATAACATTAGCATGATTTATCAGTATCTGATTCCATCAAAACAACACAAAAATTTTAATTGCAACAAAATTTAACAAATTTATAAGAGAATGTATTATTTCATCTAAAAGAGAAAATAAAGATTTCTATGATAAATAAAATTCATTTCAACTTAGAACGAAGTAAATAAAATTAAAACGCTTTTAAGATGTAAAGGGAAATTAAAAATAAATTGTAAACAAAAAGCAATCTAATTTATATTTTACGATAATGATTAGCCTTAACAGTAATCATGATAAGATTAGATAGGCATTAGCTAATCTTTCAATATAAGCAACACCTTTTCCGAAGTTTTAAATTTGAACATGAAGTTTTAAATTTGAATATGAAATAGCTAAATTTTCATATTGAAAAGTTATCCTCATCCGGATATTTATATTTTTCAAATGCCCGCAATGTTTTAATTTTATAGTTTAGTAAAAGATATGGAAAAAGTTGCAGTAAATTACTCGAAATAATTTAATTTGATTTTAATACTATTAAAGAATTTATAGAATATAAATTTTTTAAGCATCATATATTTCAATAAAGTTTCCCATCCATTCGTCTCCAACAACTGAAAATTATGATGATATCATAGATTGCATTTCTGATGAATTCATGCAAATTTCATTTCTAACCTTTTGGTGCTAACATTTTTGTTTACCTGTTATCAATTCTTGTTGTAATAAATGATAAATATTTTCCTACCAATCTTTTAATCTTTTATTATACTGTATTTTAAAAATTTTAGCATATCGTGTTTTTATTTTTATTCAAATTAGAAATATTACAGAGGAAATAAAATCATTAGAGAAATCACATTTAATTATTAAAATTGATCGATGGAAATTTCAATATTTCTGGTGGTCGTAGGTCGTCCATTAGTTTGTACGCTCGATCAAACGGAAATCTTGGATCAAATTTAGGCAATATACCAAATAATTGATAACTGGCATCATTTCGAAGCTGTTTTAAGGAACCATTATTTGTCAAATGCCTTATCATATCTTTGAGCCGCTCTTTATTAGTTTTTATTTTATGTCTCGCATTTTCCGGCATCCTATGCTTGTTATATTGCTTCTGCGACGAATGCGTGTGAAATTTTTGGTGAATATTTTTGTCTTTTCCTTTCACTGACCGAAATCTATCGGAATCATAAGTCGGATTTTCTCTTCTTCTGGAAAAATAATTTTCTGATAACGGTGCTGACATATCGGTTGCTGAGGAAAATATTTTCCGGAAACGCGAAACATCGAAAGTTGGATATCTTGACATTTCCTCCTGAAATTTATTCATCAGCATTAATACAATTAAATGTCTTTTGAATCACATGGTCAAGAGTTATTAGACTGCAGCTGATTACGGATCATCTTAGTACCAAACAAAACTCAAAAGCATATTTATTATATTAAATACAATTTTACAAGTTACTAAAATTGTCATAATTTTTTTTCAGTGGTAAAAATAATTACTCATTTTAAATAAAAGTTTCTAACTATAAAAATTATGATTAAGCTTGAAAAGTGTTTTATTAATTCAATTTCACGCATTAATTATAATTATTAAATTTGAGTAATTTAGTTTATAAATTTTACTTGTTTAAAATAAATGAAATTTCAACATTCGTCGAAATCAATTTTCCTTTGGAAAAATTGTTGAATGAGAAGGATTTGAATCAAAAAAAATTTAATTGAATCAAAAAATTTAAATTGAATATCAGATGATATTATCATTTTTGAGAGGAATTTAAATTCATTAGAATTTCGAATTAAAAATTTTTTTCACAATGAATTTTAATTAATTTAATAATTAAGACAAATGATACTACTACCATTTTTGATAGAAATTTTAATTCATTTGAATTTTGTATTGAAATTTTTTTACAGCGAATTTTAATTAATTAAACAATCAATACAGATAATATTACTATCATTTTCAACAGAAATTTTAATTCATTTGAGTTTCAAATTAAAAATTTTTTATTCAGAACATTAATTTAACAATCAAAAATTAAGAATCATATATCAAATGACGGATAAAAACTAATTTTCATTTGATAATAACAATGAATGCAAAAATACCTGTGCTTATTCAAAGATATCATTAACTAATAAGAATCAAATATCAAATGATGGATAAAAACTAATTTTCATTTGATAGTAACAATTAATGCCAAAATACCTAAGAATTAATTTTCATTTGATAATAACGATGAATGCAAAAATACCTGTGCTTGTTCAAAGATATCATTAACTAATTGACGTATAATTTCATATTCTTCTTGCATACGCTTTCGAGCATTTTCATTTTCTTTCCATCCATTTTTCATATATATATTATTGATTGTTTGTGGAAAATTCGCGGTGTCGGAATTTTTTCTTTGATGCTAAAAAGTAAAAATGTTATTGGAAATATTTCGCGGTGATTTTTTGATAGAATAAAATTTCAATTTGATTGAAATAGGAATTTCATAGTAATATTAAGTGATGCTATAAATTTACTTGCAATGTTTTTTTAACCCAAACAAACTAATTATATCACTTATTAGAATTATCACTTATTAAAACTTATCATTTATTAAAATTAAAAATTCGCAAAATTGATATGATAATTTTTTCGGGAATTAAAATTCAACTAAAACAGGAACGATAGGTTTTTTTTTCCTGAAATTAAATTAAAACCATCAAAACAATTAATATTTCATGAATGGAAAATAAATTAACAATAAAATATTTTTCCTGAAATTGTTGAGCATTTAAAAAATTTGATTGCCAATGTTTTTTTGGTTTATGATTTGTTAAATTGTTTATTCGCTTAATTGTTCGTGTTATATCAGTATCATCACCGATTGAATCTGAAATATAAATGATTCAATATGATTATATTGATAATACCACATAATAATCATATTGATAATATCACATAATACTTTTGATGTTAATTTGGCTTTCATGTATTACTACAGTAGTACCATACAAAATCATATCGTAAAGTTTCGAATTGAAATTCGATCAGTATTGGTAATTTGATTATGGTCACTGTTTAAAATTGTTGTTAGCTGAGCTTAAATAGACAACGATAAATACCATATGAAAGCCGAAATTTAGGTTTCTGATCAGGTGAAGAAGGTGTTTCATAAATGTATTCATAATGTTGACCAAAATGTTTGTATGGATATTTCGAGTGATGATCCATTTCTCGTCGTATATCTGTGAGAGTAAAAATTTAAAGGGAATTTGAAATTTTGGTATAATTTAAATTGTCCTCTGTGAAATACATGAAATCTACTAACTAACCAATTTTATTCAATGTTGCTGGTAATATGAAAAAATCCAAATAAAAGATAAGATAGAAAAGTGAATATCGAAGCATTTGTTCTTCTTGAATTTTGAATCAATCAATTCTTGAGCTAAACTGCGATAAATTTATTTTAAAATTTTGTAATAATTAAATTTTAAAATACTGTAAAGAATTTTGAAAGTATATTAAGTTCACAGCTGCTATAATAAATATTGCCTGATATTGAATTTTTTTGATAAAATTTATCTTTCGAAATTATCATTTAAAAAAGAACGCATGTAAAGGTATTAGATAATTGTTTTAATCAAAAACATTTATTAAATATTACCGACCACAGCGGGAATACAAGAAATCTTAAATAGTATCAAGATTTTTTATTATGCAAACAATTGATGAATTTCACAACCAATAATTATGAAGAGTTATTTATACATATAAATTAGCAATGATTATGAAAAGATGTTTATATATGTAAATTATTAAATTAACATATACCATGGGAAATATATGAAAATGAACTAATTACTGAATTAATAGTTCTTATTTATTCCGATTTACTATTATATGTTATATTTACAATATATTCGAATATACAGTAAATAAACGGATAACGGAAAAAACATTAAATGATTGTTTTATCATTATAAAAAAAATCGTAATTTCAATTTAAAGAATAGAGGGAGAATTTTTTTAGGTATAAATAACAATATAGTTAAATTCAATTTATTAAGTAATTTATTATCGTATTTCATTAAGTACTTTATTATTCTAATAAGTAATTTATTATCGAAACTGAATGCCGTGCTTATATCAGTGTAAGTGTAAAAAATATACAGTAGCATAAATATAATGAAATGGAATTCAAAAAACATGGAATTGAATTAATGTAAGATGGGATGATAATTAAAAAACATGGAATTGAATTAATGGAAAATTATAAGATGGGGGTGATAATTAAAAAACATGGAATTGAATTAATGGAAAAATACATAATGAAATGAAATCTGAAAAACCTGGAATTGGATTAATGGAAAAATATAAAATGAAATGAAATTTAAAAAACATAAAATTGAATTATTAAACATTAAATCGTATTGTGAGTTCCTTGTCTGAAACGAAATGAAAATAATATATTCTCAAACAAACTTCATATTATAATGAAATGGAGCGTAAAATAAATTTAATAAAATAATTTCGAAAATTTCTCATCGAAATTTTATGAATTTCTCAAAGGAATAGATTTGATGAAATGAAATTGATTATAAAATTATTATGAATAATAATAGTAATAATAATATTAATAATAATAATGCCAATCTTTTCAAGGTATATTAATCTTGAAAAGATACATAAATTAAAATGGAAGAGAAAAAAACAAGAAATAAAAATTATGAATTAATATGAGTGGAAAATTTAAAAATTATTTGACATTAAACAGGTTTGAAATTTATGAATTTAATTTATTATAATTAATTAGATAGCTTCTTCATAGCGAAAATGCTTTATTATAATATAATTATTTGTTTTAGGAAAAAAATTCTACTCATTCAATTTGTTATCATAATTCATTAACACTCTGATCGATTCTGATATATATCATCATCATCATCATCATCATCATCATCATCATCATCATCATCATCATTGCTTTAATAGGAAACAACACTGAGATGTTTTTGTCGCCTGAGATGATGATATCCTCCACCAATCAACTTCGAAAAATTCCCATCTTATAAAAAGAAAATACTGAATTGTATACTTTTTATGAGTAGCATTTGTGATTGATGCTGAAATTAATTAACAAAAATGAATTAATTGAAATTAGAAATTAAAAGTATTAAAAAATTTAAATTTGTAATTTGAAAAGAATTTTAAAACAAATAATCGTTAATTAAAATTTGTGTAGGATATTTACACTTTTATTTTATCCTTCAAAAAATCTCATAAATTCCCGAGATAGATTTTCATTCATTTCAATCTTACTCAATTCCTCATTATTCCTATCAGTTAAAAATTTTTCAATCCTAAAAATTCTTTTACCAATCATTATACTTATTCATAATGCTTACTTCTCCTACTTAATATTAACTATTATTATTGGTATCCTTTTGGAATAAAATATAGTTTCCGAAATTAAAATTTTACAATAGAGAAATTACCGTGGTAATTTTTATAACAAAAATATATTCAACAATTTTCATCTCTTTAAATCTTATCAAGAGTTTAAATTTATCCATTATACATCATCCTTTTGAACTTCAATTTTTTTGTTCATTATATAAATAAACAAGTAAATAAATTCAGGATATTGAAGATAAATACCTTCTAATTGAGCACCGAATATTATCAATAAAATATACCAAATCAAAAAATGCATTTTGTTTTCCATTTGAATTTCGAATCACGTCCGCAAGAAACTCAATCTGTTATTATGAAAAACATTTCGGACATTATAATTAAGGCGAAGAATATTCATTTGCATTGCAATAATTTAGGACAGATGAAAATTGCTACTATTACGACGATAATTAGCAAATTTTAACGTCCAGCTTTCGAATATCACTTTTAACAATTGCTCAACGAATCCTATGCGTTAATTTTTATTTCTCTCTGACTATATCCGCTTTATTTTTTATAGTATTCTTTGATGATTTCCTTCATTTTAATATAAAATAATCGAAAGACAGAAAACTCGACTCGTTGATATAACATATTTTAACTTGATAAAAATTAGTATCTTAAAATGCCTACCTAAATTCGGTATAATTCCTTGGATAACAATTACAACAACATTTGTTAAAACAATTGAAGACTTTTACAGGAATATTGAAAGATCTATGGATACATGTATTATGATCATTTTATTTAACTAATTTCTGTAGCTCGAAGTATTTCTAAGAATTAAATAAAAAAAACCCTAAAGTAATTAAGCGAAAACAAAAATTGTTTATCTAGAAAAAAACATCACTTAATGCTGATATGTAATAACATATTGAGAGCCGGTTATTTATCTTGCAAAATCATAAAATCATACGATATAAGCACCATACACAGGACTTCCAATGATGAATTCCACGAACCGGCTCGATTTACTTGCCAATTAATCGATTACCAATCATTAATGAGTATATAACTTTGCAGGATACAATTTATTTACAATCTTCTTTAAATATAAAATGACTTGAAGTCAATTTTTTCAATAAATTAAAATAAAAACGACGTTTCCAAAATAATTTGATATAAAAACAATCTTACAGTTTAAATTCAGTTAGAATTAGAGTGAAAATTGATACGAAATATCATAAAATAAGCACAGAAATAGGAACAATATTGGCAAAAGCCTTTCAAAATAATGATAATAATAATTCTGGAAACAAAAGAGAGATGGAAGAAAGATTGGTTCTCTACAATCCTAAAAAGAATAAAACAAATGAAGAAGAGGAGAGAAAAAGGATGAAAAAAGGGAAATTAACAGTTGATATTCTTCGAGTGCGAAGAAAATCAAATATGGAAATATGGCGGAATGTTTGATGAAGAACCTTTTAATCTCACAACCATGTACAATATTCTTCTTTCGTAAATGAAGATGCAAATACTCTATGTGTGTAAAGGCACTTCTCACGTTTTCAACGCCATTAAGCCTTTGAGGCGATTTAAATTGAAATTAAAATTAAAATAGTTAAAGAATATCCATCAAAAGATGTGATCAAAACGATTGTCATAAAAATGAGAAATGGTATGGAACTAGAAAACATTAACACATAAAGGAGAAACGATTTTGCTTGTATCGTCATAAATAAATTACGTTATCTTATATCTACTTCAACTGTTTTGGATGAAAAATAGACGGTAGTATGATAGCGACTTCGGAGAATGATGCGCCAAGCCAATCCAATCATTCAAGAACCGTCAAATTTTAATCTGAATTAAATCTTATGAATAGCGAATCCACGGCTATTAAACATAGTCTAGTTCCTTCTATGAAATGTTTCGCTTCAAATTTGAAAAATAAGACCGCATCATTTCTCAAAGTATCAAAATCGTTCTATAAAAAATCGGAGGACAGCTTTGCTCAGATTAATAGAAGGTTAGTAAATAAGTATAAAATATATGAAATCATGCATTTAATCAGATATCACAAAGGTATAAAAGAAAAATATAAATGGTATAAATGATATTGGAAGAGATCAAATTTTGATAAGATTAATGTATAAATAACAACATTAAGTTCGCCATATTTAAATAATAGATTAAAGTTGAATCCTGGTTCAACTACCATCTGCATCATCAACATCACGGCAATGTAAAATCCTGGAAGACTTGCTCTAGCTTGTCTCAGCATAAATCTGTTGTCATAAATACGACTCAAATACTTGCATACCTGAAAATTGATGAGTACGCAATTTCCACAACTTTTTTTAAGAATTCAGAATAAATTAACCTGCTTAATTAAAAAAATAAACAGAACTACTAATCTTTTCATTAACATTAAAGAAAATAATAACGTTGAAGAAAAAGAAAACCCTAAAGAATGGACGATAACTCTACAATAATCCAGTTACCGAGTGCAATAAATGATGCAATAACAGTTATCAGATAAGCTCCTTTGATCTTTCATTTTAAACTTTCCTGTAGAAAAGTATCAACTCTTTTCAGCTCATGAACATAATTCATACTCAATACGTGCAGTTCAAATGATGAAGAAGACATGCGAAGTGGCACACTATACCTTTTTCACGTTTCATGGTCTTCTCTGTTCCAAGCAGTGATTGTTGCGTAGATGATACGGTAGGATGAAAAATGTTGAACTGATTTGGAAGGTTGTCATGTGATGACAATATGTTTGGTTCCCGCTGCAAAAATTATTTATGAGCTAAATTGCTTGAGAACTGTCGGAAACTGTAAAACTTCTGCAACATGTATTAATACTAGATTAAAAAACAACAGAAAGATCTTAACATTAATATAAACTTGAAAAGCTCTAATGCTTTAACAAAAAGCTTTCGACACTATGTAAATATACCTTGGTTCATGAAAAATCCAACAGAGGAAAATCTCACGCATTCTTCTAATGATCAGCACAAGATGAAACAATGAACAAACACAGATCTCAAACGAATAGAACCAACTTTTGCGAAACTGTTTAGAAGAGAAAATAGTGGCTGCTGCAACTTCTGTTCATTGCTAAGCAGAATGGGTTGCTGCAACTGCTGTTTATTTTCAACTTTTTCACCTATCACATTTTGCTTATGCTTCTTTGCCATTGCTGCCAGTTTTTCATTCGTATCAAAATACCAAACTGTTATAGCATAGCTGAAATCAAAATTCAGCTATGATAATGGTGATAAGAACTAGTTGACACAAAGCAGGTGGCCTGAAATCCTGATATATGTATCTCAAATTCTGGAACAATTGCAAATGATTTTGTTTAAGCAACATACTGAAAATTTAAGCAATCATGACTAACTTGACGAATGCTAGTCATTATTTTTCAAATTGAGGAAAGTGAATGAAGAGTTTTCAAAAATATTTTTAGAAAATTTGAGAATAAACCTGAAGAAATTACCGATTCCGATATACCGGACGAACTTCATGAGGATTCCGACGATCTGACCATAAAAGTAACAGCCTGTCAGCTCGTGGCTCGATATCCACTGGAACATCCGATGTCTCAGGAAAAAGCCTGAAACAACCGCCATCCTGAAAAATATGCAGTAAGCATGATATAAAAAGAAAGACCAAGTAAAACGAACAATCATCACTATCAATATTAAGGTGCACAGAACAAATATATGCTCTACCTAAAGAAACTGAGATTATAAAAACTAACCGTAGAACAAAAATTATTTTCGAGATTACGAACTTATCAAATAAATAAAATGTTACCTTTTCAACATTCCAGTTCTGATTGCAATAATAAATAGCAGTAATGCAACGACCATCTTTCATCGGGTTATCAATGTGTTTCACATAATGTGTTCCATCTGATGGATATATTGCCAGCATTGCCTAAACAACCTGTATTTCAGTAAAACATCAGCAATTTGTAACGAAAGGGCAACCTCCCAAAATGTCATTTCAAAAAAATCCATGTACTTAACTGAGTAAAGTATTTAAAAAAGGAAACTGCGAAGATCAGTGAGAAAAGTGAGAACGATCTAACACTGGAACAAGATAGTCAATTTATTAATGATTTTATTATGAAAAATGAACTGCAACGTTATTTGCTTTTCTCTTTCTCTAAAACACATGGTCAATATTTATGTTTGCATCCAAAGAACTAGATGTGGACGTTTTTTTAATGTGGCTATTACTATATTATACTTTTAAATATTACGAATTTTTTGGTAATTCCATTAATAAAAAATTAGGATAAGGGAATAGAAAGAAAAGATGACAAGATAAGAAAAAAAACTTCTAAAGTTTCATGCGAAAATTTCCCCCTATACAACTGAAATTTCTATTAATTCAGATCCATCATATTCTTGAGAATAACTAATGAATTTGAAAAAGAGAAGCATTTCCCTACCCATAATATCATTATTTACAGCAATCTGCACGTTGATAAATTAGTGTAAGGAAACAGTGGAAACAGTCTCTGAAATCACGTAAATTATCAAACAAAAGGTTATCAGCAATTACCCGTGAGCGTCCAATAATTTCATAGGGTATACGGCCATTAAAATGGACAACGATGGAATCAATCATTGAGACAAGCAAACGAACTGTCACTGCCACATTGATTCGTTCATCATTGCTGTCAAACCAGTAAACCTGAAACTGATGCTTCTTTTTCAAGTAAAATAAAATGCGACTGAGAAAAATTCGAAAAGGCAAATCTTATGTGTGCGCTGAGATATTTTTCCCAAAATGGTAATTACTAGGGTTAATGAAGCACTTAACAATATAAACTGATATAGAAGACTAACAGAATTTTCGATTTGTTAAAATTAGAAATGTGTAATAAATCTCATTCGGATGCGTTGTAAATTGTAATCGTGAAATGAAATGGGTTAGTAAGGCATGCAGGAGTAAAAACTAATTTGCTCATGTTTAGCTATAAAATCAAATGTAATACACAGTGCACACGAATTAAAATACAATGGTGCAATAAAGTAATGAGGGTAAATAGCGCCTGTTATCACGGGAGCTGTTTAATATAGTAACTATCAGTGATAGATTTCATGAAAGTTTGAAAAATATACATAAAGCTAAAGCAAAGTGTACAAATCAGGGACTATACTAATTAAAAGCAAAAACATACAAAGTCATATACGTATCAAAGAGCTGTGCAAACATAAAGATCACTGTTCTATAACGGTTCCATATTCCGCAATAATAAATAAAATTCAACCGACCTCATCCGATCGTATATTTTGAGAGTTCGAATTCACTTTTGTTTCCATCAACTGTCCTGGTTTAAAGACACCTCTATTGTACAAATAATTCATTTCTCTAAAATTCAGAATTAAAGATTTCGACAAGTGTAAGGACTGCGTCAAATTGCAACATCTTACTACTGCGTGATTAATTCATTTATCTAAAAATATGTAAAAGTAGTAAATACTATACCTGTGAATGTGGCAACAATGATTTTGCCCAAGAAAATTATCCACAACTGCCCATCCATAATCATTCAAACACTTAACAGCATGGTCCGCAATACACTACAACTCAAAATAAATAGAAAGTTTTTCGTCCGCTAAATTTCGTTGATTCCGAAAAATTAATTCTAATTAAAAACATATTAAAAGCTCAAAATAGGCTAAATTCCTGATTATTAGCAAAAACTCGTTCTATACCTTCAGATGCAAGGCAACTGCTTGTTGTTGATGGATTGCTAATCCACTTGCGGCAAATATTTTCAAGTGATCTTGTAAGCTAATCTGGAATAACAATAAATTTTTCGCGAAAATTTCTGAACTTTCAAACCTAAAAATAGTGCCTGAAGTCTGAAACTCTAAAAAAATTAGTCTTCTAGTTAAGGAAACTAACTGTTAAATATGAAATCTTTTTTAGAGGAAAACGTAAAAATGATCATACATTCTTCTTGTCATGGAAATCCATTTTCTGATAAAATGATTGCAAGAATAAATCTGAAAATTACCGTGAAGATAGGATTAGCAGAGTGATTAATCAGTTGAGGATGTATGCAGTTCATCTGCAGTAATCTCTTCCTCGATACTTTCTCTGATGTATTAGCGATTTTTTCAAGAATTCGATTATCTGGATTGCTTGTATTAATAAAATTTTCGCACAATCTATTGCCTAAAAATATCTTCTAAAATTCATCACTTGTGGTTCAAAAAAATTAACAAAAATGAGTGAAAGTTATGTTTTAAATTCTAACTTGGATCCACATTTAAAATTAAATTTTAGTAGTTGGGAAAGAAACACCAATTTCAAATAATTAAATGCCACACTTATACAGATATGCATTCATTAGATGGACTTGGAGGTCGATGAAGAGCTAATTTTGGAAGTTAAAGGCTAGTTTTGGAAGTTAAAACTTAAAGTTTAGATGAAGAGTTTATCAAATAATAACCACATCTAAATAAAAGATTGCAATGCATTATTTTACCGATAGGATTGTAGGTGTGTATTAAAGTAACGCTCATGCTTAACACCCATCATTCTAATAATACCCAAATTTCATGTAATTTCAAATACTAATCTAAATCACCAACATACCTAACCATTTTACATCGGCCACCGTTGCACAACCAACAGGATTTATAAGTTTACCAGCACTTCTTTGTTCAGTTGAAGCAGCAGCAGTAATATTCCTCGCTAGCTGAGATTGTACAGTTTTGCAGAGTGATTTATGTCGTTTCCAATCAAAATTCTGTAAAAACATGCTCTTCCCAGTCATTATTGAATGTCTTTAATAACTTCATGCAAAAATCCATTCATTTTATAATTAAACCCCTCAAATTCTGTTTTTCATCCGAGAATTTTATTCTTCATCTTTCAAGAATTTTAGCATCAAAAGAAGATAGCAAAAAATACTTCCGAAAACTTTATATAAGCCCATAAGATAGACATACATCTCTACTACGGCCAAGAAATTTGAAACATCACGAACAGTATAAACTAGTTTTAGTCTCAATAAAAGCAATGTATGAACTTAATTGGTCGAGTAAATATTGAAAGACATTCAACGCTTATTTTTTGGTTATCTACATGCGCCTATTCTACAATACATGAATCTAACAGCAGCTGAATATTCAAATAAATTATTGCGCTGAATGTAGGCAAGCCAAAATGGAGAGAAAAATAAAACTCGTTTGTCCGCAAAAAGTTATAGTTTTCGAGTATTGGAAGCCTGAAATGCTTACTTGGGATGAAAATTATGAAAAAGTGATTCATTCAAAATGGTATGGTCATTTGAAGTATTTAAATAATTTCACGCACATTTGAATCATCAAGGAAGAAATATATTGCAAAAGGATATTGCTGCAGTTAAGAATGATTTTTATTATAACTCAATTAATCGTAGCAAAGATAAAAAATATCTTCTCATTTCCTAAAATAAAGATCTCACCTCAATAAATGATATCATGCTATATCATTCTTATTCTAATATCATTCTTTTATTCATTATCGACAAAATAAATCAACCGCTTTTTTAAATTTTTATGCTGTTGAAAATTCCAAACAGAAAGTCAAAGTCAAAGTTTTGGAGATTTTTAAAATTCCGCTCTTTGTTATTATATTGAAGCTATCACAGGACTTTTTAAGCTATTACAGAAATTGCAAGATACTCCATTTTTCATAAATCAAACCCTGCAAACGTCGAAAATTTTCTCTTTGATTTTTACAACCAAATTTATGATTTCAATAAAGGAGACTGCTTTCTTCTAACAAAACAATACGTTTTATTTCATCGTTTCTTTCCTTCTGTCTGTTTATGTGAGAATGTCAATTTTTTTAATGTGATAAAATGTGTGTATGAAAGTTTACAAAAAAAAGGAAGAAATACTATTTATCATTTCACAGATGGTTTTTCATCTCTTATCATAACCCCTAGCATTTAAGAATTCTTATACGAAAATTTTTCTTTGAAAAAATGCGACATTTTTTTACAGCAGAAGTCGTACAGAAATATTTCATTCTTGAGTGTCATTTTTTTTAATTTTCGCACGTTTGATTCCTGTAATTTTATTAAACCTACGTGAAATTAACTGGAAGGAAAGCAAATTAATTTTCATGAACGTTAAGAAACGATTTCCATAGTTATTTGATGAAGTCATGCTAATACTTAATTCATATCAATGAACTGAACAAATCACTTTTGATTATTAATCAAAATGATTTATAGCAATTTCTAAAAATAAACAGAAAGGATTAAATTTTCGTCAATTTTACGAAACAATTTCCATTTTTTATTCTAAGTAATCCTCAGAATTTTTTTCTAAATTCCTTGCAGAAAACAGATATGGGATATTATTAAGTGTAACGAATTCACTACCAGAGAATGGCATTGTTCTAGGCGATCACAGACTTCTGATGATCCTATAAACTGAACGATGCTAATTGAGGAATGAGAACAATTTATTATCAAAAATATCAATAAAAACAACTTGAATAATTCCATCAGGCCTAAGTTTCATCTCTACGCTATTATTTATGTTTATTCTTCATTTACCGACTTCACAACTATTAAAAAAGGAAAATATTAAGAAAATATTCGTTGAAACAATACTGCCATCTAGTTTGAAGATGAATAAGAGAAACTTGTACTTCGGCATTTATCCTTCATCTCCAATATCACTCTGTTACTTATGACTCATCGAATAAACAGACGCTATACTATTTTTTATGCATTTTTGTTGTGTTCATATGTTCAACAATTAATACACATAGGATATTGCCTCATAAAAAACCTTAAAAATTTTCCCTACTACTCAAAATTTCTCGCTCAAATTATTCCAAAAGTGAAGTAAACTAAATGTAAAGATGAAGTTACTCTATGTTCTTCGCCACAATATACCACCATATTGCACTGCTTACATTGTGATAATGCATCACCATCGATTGACTTGGGAGTTCCACAAACTGCACATTCTCTGGAAAATTTCATGAACCTCTGAAACATTTCATACAATGGATTTTATGAAAATCTGATATGGATAACGTTCCAAGTATTATGAGAATTTTTCGAAATCGGCATATTAAAATTGACTCCCGAAAGAATACGATTCAATTCAGTTTAGTTTGATTCAAATTAATTCTGATCTAACCAGTTCGGTTCAATAACTACTAGTTGTTACTTATAGAATCAATTTCAATTCAATATCTAATCAATTCAATTTAAGTCAAAATTGTCACAAATGACTAAGATCATCAGTTAATAATCAGTTCAAATTAATCTTAAAGTTTGAAAATACTAAAGTCTAAAAACCTAAGCAAAGAAAACTAGAGCAATTGCTTTCCAATAATACCTCAACTACAAATCATTTCATTCAATTAAAACCTGATAAGCTTAAGCCTAAGCTCGAGTCAAAATGTCTATTATTGTCACATTGATTGCTCTAATCATCATGGCCATTTCAGGTCATTTCTCAGTCCACCACCATATCGCTCCTCATGATTTTTCTCGCCTCTGATTCCTCTTCCTTACCTGAGCAAATTCGCTTTCCAATTCACTCAACCCTAAAGCCAATCTCACCTCCCTTTAATTTTTCTTTCTATCAAATGCTTCCAACGTTGCATTCCCGCTGCGCGCTACAAGTCGTGAAATTAACCGTGCTTTAGATTTAAGCAATCAATCGTCATTTATGACTTTATCAGAGTTTTTGTTTACGTGACTGTACTGTACATTACAGTAGACATAATGAATATTTAAAAATTTACTTATTTACTGCACCCATTCTTCGTTCAATTACAGTTTATCGATTTGTCAAGATTCGCTCGTTTCTTTAGTCTGAAATTTTCATTTCATTTTATTATTTCTAATAATTTCAAATGTCTACGATAACAAACTTCCATCAGGCAATATTACGATATCATGTTAATTATAATAAATGTTGTGTTTCTTCATCAATACTTACATTCGATTATGAAGTTATCATATCGCCCTCAGACCTAATTAATTTCATAGGATATACACAATACATTACGCTTTATAAAATTATCTTTAGATATGTATCGATGATACATTACAGTCAACCAACATCGTTAAGTTCACATTCGTAAAAAAATATCAGAATCTTAAAATATTCTTAAAAGAAAAACACCGCTAATTAATCTCATTTATGCAAGTACAATGCTCAATTTCCTTTTGATTCATCATTATTATCATTAATCATTATTGATTTAGATTTGTGATATCAGTATTTGAGCTTTCTTACTTTATACTTATCATTGGATGTCTGTTTATTTTTGCCTAAATGATTTACTTCAATGATTAATCATCTTTTCATCATTTTATTACTTTCTGAAATTCTTCCCTTATTTTTCTTGTCCACTTTGTGATCACTCCTTATTGTTCCAAATTGAAACATACATCTCTTTGTTTATCTTTTCTTTCCTAATTGGACAGTAGTATTTCCATTGCATACTCGATAGTTGTTTTAGTTTCAAGACGAATTTATTGATTGCATTCATGATAAAAGATGAACGTAATCTAATTATAGCATTCATTCTTCTTAGGTAATTACTTCGCATTCATCAAATTAATAATTAAATCTTTCTAATAAATTTTCATTGTGAAATTTAAAATATTTTATTTTGATAAGATCATGAATCATTTCTCAAATGATTACATCATTTTTGGTAGTAATAATATTTTATAGATTTCAAATTGAAAATTTATTACAAATTGATGGCCTATACCATAATGTTTAATAAATTGTAATTCATCATCAATGGAGGAGGATTTAACCTAAAATAAGATACATTAATACTTAACCTAAAATAAGATACATTAATATTTAACCTAAAATAAGATACAGTAATATTTAATCTAAAATAAAATATATTAGTAGCAAATATAATCAATTTTAATATATATTACTTATTTGATTATGTAAATTTTCTCATTTTAAAATTTATAAGCAATGTAAATTTATCATTCTTCTATTTTCTTGTCTAATTTTAAGTGTGAAAATGTTTTTTCTCATTATTGCACTGTTCACATTAAATAATGAATATATAACCGAAATGAATTTTTCGAGCAAAACTAGGCTCTAATGAATATATATAACCAAAATGAATTCTTGAGCAAAACTAGGCTCTTTCTATGAAAATTGAGTCCAAACTGGGGCATTGAAATAAAGTAAGGCAAATTTCAACAAATGTCAATCAATGAAGAAAACAATTCCTCTCTTTACTCATTCCTAAAAAAGGAAAATTTAGAAGGAAAAAATTAATTCATCCATTTTCATACATTTCAAATGTCAAGGGTCAATTGGAATTTCCCCAATGAAACAAAATTTTAAATGTAATCTTTTTTTTTTTATTTTTCAAAATGCTCAAAATTTGAAGAGATCTCAAGTTCTCAAAATTTGAAAAGAAATTTGAAAAAATATCCATTATGATGAAATAGCATAAACGACAAATGAATGCCGATTTTTCAATGTATTTGTAGTTGTTTGTAATGGATCTCATTTTAGGATTAAATCAACTCAACCTCATTCGTGTAATTTTAGGCCTTTGATCCATTTCAAATGCTAATTTATCACAATTTTACGTGTCATTTCAATGACACATTTTTTTTTTACCAAAAATTATTTCATTTGACGACGAAAAATGAAATGAAAAAGACCTCGAAAACATCCATTAAAATTTCAAAATTTTCACGCTAACAATTTTTAAATTTTGCACGCAAATATTCTCCCTCAATTTCTGTTTTTTTTCAAATGAACAAAGTAAATTTTTGCGGAAGTCTTTTAGAAGTGATGTTGAAAAGGAAACGAATGGAATGATTTTGTTGTGATGTTGAAATTGTTGAAATTGTTGTTTGTTAACACATACAGACAGACAGACACACACACACACACACACACATACTTTGTGTATATGAATTGTGGTGGCACAATTATCTTGATTTGTATTTCTTTTACTGAATTTTCCTAAAATTCCAGAATTAAACGGTTGACTAAAAAAAGTGGGCAAACTTTTAATTGAACTAGAATTGAGAAATAATTTATGATTCATTGTTTTAATCTTTTGCATTTATTTCAATTTTTTTTAGGTGGAAAATTTTGCTAACGTGAAAAAAAATGATAAAGTAAGCATTTGAAATTATAATTCAATCATTTAAAATTAACGATGTGACAGTTTGATTGCTGAATTCTATTGGAGATACGATCTCGATCATAGTTTTAACAAATTTCAATTATGCGAAATATTTTGATCGAAAGAGAATTTTTGCAAATTTAACAAATCTTATAGTAAATTTAATATGAAGTAATTGGTACATTTGCAAGTATAATATCAAATTTTGTAAGGCAGCTACTATGACTGGTGACAGATGATGATAATAGCTATCCCAAAAATTCTTTTCTGATAACATTTTTCTGATCTTTTCTGATAACATTGATAGTATTTAGAGGAGGAAATATCACACTTATTTTTGCTTTTTTTTTTTGGTAGCTAATAATGATAATAATGATAATCTAATTCTGATAACATTGATAGTACTAAGAGGAGGAAATATCACTCTTATTTTTGCTTTTTCTTAGAAGCTAGTAATGATAACCTAATGATAATAATGATAATCTAATAATAATGATAATGTGATAATCTTATCATTCCGTGTAATATATTGAAAAATAGCAGTGATATTTTGCAGAATAAAAAGAAAAAGCGTAAAATGTAAATGAAAACAATAAAAAATGAAATGATGTTATAGAATTACACAATTTCGAATGAATCATATTCTTTTACACCTGTTGCTGCAAGAAATAAAAAGAAGCATTGAATTTTTGAACTTTTAAAATTATAAATTTATTTAACTTATACCGATATATCCCGATAATTAATTAATTCATTAGCAAATAAATCGTTATTATGATAATTTAAAAATATTTGCATATTTCATTTTTGCGTGTGATAGTGTGGCTTTCTATTTTAGATAATTTAAAATGCAAATTTTAATTTTAAATTTTAAATATTAACAGAGATGAAAATATTCAATATTTGAATTAGTATTGAATTTAAAATTCGAATGTTTCGATAGATTAATTTTGAATATTTTCATTTCTGTTAATATTTAAAAGTTAATAATAGAAAAATAAAATTAAAAAATATTTAGAGAAATGAAAGCAATTATCGTTAGTACAATTAATTAATTAATTTATGCAGTTGTTTTATATTTATTGAAATATGAAATTATGAGAGAAGATGATGAAGCGCTTTTGAAACGGAAGAAAGCAGAGTGAATTTAAACATTATCAGAGGAAGTTGATAAATGATAAGAGTATCAAACTAGTAATCAGAGTATTTAAAAGAGCCATAATGTTTACTCAAATGAGTAATATTATTTTTGAACGATATAAGATGAAGTAAAAATTATAATAATGTGATGGATGATAAAAGGAAGCAGAATAGGTAAATGTGTTGACATTTGCGCCATGTATGAATGACAAAGGAAGAGCATAACGATAAATATATTTGAAATGAATCATATAGAGTACTAACACAATTTGTTGATTTATTCGTTTGGATAATATATCATAAAAGAACAAATTAAAGTTAGGGAATATTCAAGTAGGTAAAAATGTTGACATTTGCGCCATTCATGCATATGAATAAAATAATTTGAAAATCAACGAAAATAAATGATTTAAAAATAAACTCAGCGGAAGAAGAAAAGAAGTGGGAGGTTAAGGTGAGGCTATTATTTTTAAGAAAAATTAAAGGTCATCAAATCATATGATTTGACTTAGCTTCATTATAGTACAATTTTATCATTAAACTATAAGTGCTCATTAGTTTTTTTAACTAATTACCTTTTCAGAAATATTCAATAAGCCTTGAACTAAAACGCATTTTACTAATTTATTTTGTTTATACTTTTTAATTTCTTACGTTACAAGATATTTGTTGAAAATTTTAATGATATGAAAAATTCAGAATCCTTCGAGGATTCTGAATTCATTTTTAGGAAAATATAACTTTTTGGCCATTTATTAAATTGCCTAGAGAGCTGTAAACATTTGCAAAATTTTTATCTGAAATCATACAGTAAAATAGTTCTAAGTAGAAATTTTAGCTCAAAATAATAGTAGCATTAATTTATTGAATTGGTATTTATAGTAAATAAAATCAAATGAATTTATTTACTTGGCTCTTTTGAGCATCTGTTACAACATTTTCAGCCTAAAGTTTTATCTCATAAAGTGCCTAATCAGTAAATTTCTCAATTGGGTCGATAATTATTTAAAGAACATCTCCTTATCATTTACAAGTTAAAATAACAAGAATACTGTAACCTGTAATGGATGACGGAACATGAATAATGCTGAAAATTTGGAAGACCTTGACATAACTTATTGTTAGAGGTAGAGGTGAGAAATTTGACGAGAAAAGGAGAGAGAGGGAACTGTCGGTAACAGTAGTTTTTGCTAAGGAGAATGCAAAACAATTGTCTTGTATCCGATCGAGTAAAATGATAGAAGAGGCTATCTGAAAGATCAGAAGGAAAGAAAAGTATGACAAACGATTAGTCATTCATTTAAAAATGATTTACCGATATGAGAATGGATGATTCTCTTTTTTTATCACGTAAGATAATCAGGTATTAACAGACAGATGTATCTTACACAAAAGTAATGAAGAAGAAACTTCTGAATGAAATTTTATACTACAAATAGAATTTCGATGAGAATTTAGGGGATCATTTTATGAGTGATCTTCCTTAAATTTGTCTTAGATCTTAGATCATGTCTATTTTACTTCCAACTGGCATCTAGTATTTTCTTGCGTTAATCGTATCTTCTAGAAAGCTTTCAGAAGAACATCAATTTGTAAAAAGTTTCGTTATAAAAAATTTGAGGTAGAATAATTTAGATTTTTCAGATTTCAATTTTGCTAAAATTTTCTACTATTATTTTTGTACAAACTTTATTGAATTCAAAAAAAAAAAATAATTATCAACTTTTTTTGTTTTTAAAAATTATTTAATTTAAAAATTTTTCAATTAAATTATTTATCAAATTACGTGAAAAATTGTTAAATTAATTAGGAACAAATCAATTAGGAATAATTAACAATGTTTATTTTAAATGATAATCAGAAATTTTTAGATAGACGTTTGAAAAAGAATGAATGTAAAATACATCTATTTTCTTTAAACAAAATTAAAATAAGTAATTAGGAATAGGTAAGGAAAAGAAGTAGTTAGTCAGCCTGTAAAAATTCATCGAATTAAATGTGGAAAAATTACAGGTAGTACAAATTAGACATTCGACAGGTGGCATACCTATTTATATGAGACAAAATGATTTCTTCGTTAATAAATTAAATAATAAATTAGTGTTTTGTTTTTTTCCTCTTGACGTGCTATAAATGAGAAAATTGTCGTTGAAATTTTGCACGATAATAAAACAGGTTGTGTGAAAAGAAAAAGTGGACAATTAAATTTATTACCATTTTTGGCGATATTAACAGAGCATAGCATCTGACAATAAATTGCAATTTTCGACAATTGCGCTTCATATTTCTAAGCTATTAAACAAATCACTACTACATATGTATTTGTTAGATATCTATTGATAAATTCACTGTATCATTTTAACAGAGCATAGCATCTGATAATTTTCGACAATTGCGCTCCATATTTCTAGGCTATTAAACATATCACTACTATATTTATATATATATATATATATGAATACATTGAATTTATATATATATATATATATATATCTATTAGATATCTATTGATAAATTCAATGTATTCATTTTAACAGAGTATAGCATCGGATAATTTTCGACAATTGCGCTCCAATTTTTAAGCTTCTAAACAAATCCTACTATATATAGATATCAATATGTATACAGACATAGATATCTATTGATAAATTCAATATATTACTCAAACATTTCTTAAGTGGATAAAAAGCTAAGGCTATACTTTTATATTAGAACAAAGCTCATTTAATTATTGATTGGAATAAATTTTAATAATATGATAATTATTGATCAAAGAAATACCGAAAAAGCCAATGAAAAGAATTGTTTCATATGAAGGCACGGTATATCTTTGAAATGATATGATAAAAATCTAGTATAATTTGTTCTAGTTTGATAATTTCATATCACTAAATAATTTCTTAATAAATACCAGTAATATGAATAAGTTTAACAAAACCTATTTGACAAAATAGTTATCATAAAATTACGATATATTTCATAAGTATTAAATTTTTTTTTAGAATTAATTCTTTGATACAATCCTATTTTTAGAATCCATTTTGAATTATTTCTATACTAATTAATTGAATTATAAGTTTATGCAAATGTAATAATTAATGTAAACAAATAAACTATTGAATTTCATTTTAAAATACTAAATGACAAATTTATGAGTGGAATCGATGAAAATAACTTTGTGATTGTTTGATAATATTAGGCACAGTTATTTCTGAAACAAATGCAATTAATTCATTAAATTAAATGAATTCTGAATAATTCATTTAACATTTATAGATGATTCTGTTGAGTGCTAAAACAAATGTTCGGAATACCAAGACCAATAGATCACCTGAAATAGACGAATGGTTTAATTTTTATATGAAATGCAAGAAATTATATCAAATAAAACAATTAATTGCAAAGGATGAAATTAGTTCAGAAAATTTCATCTGATAATTTTTTTCATTATATGACTAATTTTATCCTTTTTATCATTTTATCATTTTTTATCAATATATTATATAGCTTTTTATCAATTTTTATCATTATATGACTCATTATATAACTGATAATTTTTATCATTATAATTTTAACCATTATATTATATTTTTATCATTATGATTTTTATCATCATATGAATAAAATTAGAAATTTAAATAAGTTTGAGCTTTCTTTAAATGAATAAAATTATTTTGTAAACTTGCATTAAAGCATGCAAAAAATGCAGGAAAGATGATGCTTGATAAATGATCTATACGATCTGGTGTCCAAGAACTAGACTTCCAACGTGATCGGCACCATTTCAATTCAAATCCTTCTACCGGAAGCATAAACCTTTTTTCGAATTCGCAAATACCTTTCGGACTTGACTCTACTCCTTCGATCTAAACTGATATTTTAAATAATTTAATTGGAGTGATGCTAATTAATTGAACAGGACTTGTGGTGCAAAATTTTTGTTAATCGATCAAAAGAAATGAACCAGCATTTTAAGGATTAAAATGATGATAATATAAAATTGGGATACAGTTTCAGAGCTTATCAGAAATGTTTCATATTCCAAAAAAAGAAGTTTACATTTTTACAGTGCGGCTTCCTCGGCTTTTGACCGCTTTCCATACTTTTCACCTTTGAACCAATTACTGCCAGCTCAATTAATGATGAGAATATGAAAGTCATTGAGACTAACATCCATATATCTGAATGATCACATAATTTCATAGGTCATCTCTGTTGTTATATACAAGGTCAGATAAATAACCTCTTTTACTTATCTATTTACTGGAGTGATATGGGCCTTTTTTTCAGATTTATTTACATTTACTAAATTCATTTCCATTTTCTAACATTATTGATTGTTCTTGTAAAATAATTTATCATTTTAAAATTCAAATTTTAAAACTGAGAATTTTGAAAATTTTAATTTTGAAAAAATTTATGTTATTAGTTTTTTAAAATATTCAAAATAAAAATATTTAAATCTCTAACCAATAGCTTTAATATATGATACTCTTGGCAAATTTCGCATAATATTACCAAATTGAAATATCATTGCTAATAATGCATTAACACCAAGCATTGTTCGAGCAGGTATCGCTCGTGGTCCCAATGAAAATGACACCCAACTAGAAAATGGAAGTTTATGAAGGAGATTTAAAAGTATTTATTTTAGAAATACTATAAAAGGTATCGTAATCTTTTTGTTCGATCTATTTGGCAATTAATAAGTTTACAAGCATACAGAGAATATATAACGTTTGTACGTTAATTTATCATTTGATGATTGGATTTAAATTTAGAACATTTTTTAATTTCATCTTGTAATATCATAAAAATGCTTAAAATAGCATTTTGTTAGATTATTATTATTATTACTATTATTATTATTAATATTATTATCATTATTATTATTATTGTTATTATTATTATTACGTTTATTTGCTCAATGGGAAATAAAATGTATTAAAATGAAAGGATTAAAAATTTTGAATGTTTCTTTTTGTTACTTTTGGTTATTAATTCTACAATTATTAATCTAATCGATTATCGCATGCAACGATATTTACTAAAAGTAATTAATTACCTGATAAAAATGGTAAGGTAAGTTGGAACATATGCTTGCATAAAATACCATACACAACGCCTTTCGAATGTTAAATTCACATGCAATTCATCCCACATTCCAGCTGGATATTTCTAAATTCAAAATTTTTGAATTTTAATCAATTTCCAATTTTTAACGATAAGAATTAAAATTTAATTCATATTCATTTGATTTGAATTCTAATTTTAATTAATGATTTAATTGAATTTATATTCATTTGATTTGAATTCTAATTTTAATTTTAATTGATATCAGTAGTTTGAATAACTGAACAAAATACATTTCAGTTTCATCACCCAATTGATTATTCATTTAGAATTTGATATTGGAATTTAAAAACTTTCCAAAATAAATTTCTATTATATTTTTTGAAGTAAATTTCTTGAAATTACATCTTAAGGCACTGAATTGTACATTAAATGAAATTTGCATACCTCTATCCTAAGAGTTGATGAGATATTAATTAAAATGAAATCAGGTAATAATATTTCACTGACAGTATAGACTGGATTTGAATTAATCCAACGCATTCGTACTTCTTGATTATTGTAGTTAAAGCTGAAATTGAACTTAATTACCGTATACATTCTATAAATTTCTAAACTTTTAAATTCTCATTTATTTAATGTGTTCTGTCAATTGCAAGATTTTTACATGTATATATTATTTCGCTTTAAATTTTAATATTTTGCATTCATACCTTTCATAAATTAAATTACAGGTTTGTACATCCATTGGAAAATTTGACAAATCCATAGCACATGGTCCTTTTACACGAACTCGCTGTAATAAATTATAAACTAATTAGCATCAATTTTATTCCGAAATTATTCAATAGGAAGATCAGAACGGAAATGAAACTTGATTATCATTCAAAATGATCCTCCGGGAATTGGAATTTTGAAATTTTATCATCAAAATGTTGGATTTAAAAACACAAGTTTAGAACTAGTATAGAAACATTTATTATTAATTCTGATTCTTCTAATTAATCATAATTACTATAATTATTACCGGAAAAGGAAATGTAAAATAGGCAGACTTACATAATTGACCCAAACAGTACCATTTGGATAAAGCATCAGGAAAATATTCCTAAAATGCTAAAATAACTACCATTTTTCCATTCATCTCTAACCATTTAATTTCATATTAAAATTTACTTTTTGTTTTGTTTTAGTTTTCATAAATTAAAATTAATTGTATTAGAAATGAATGACCATCCCGAAATGGTACTTTCATTCATTTCAATTCGATAAAAATTAATAATAGTAATAATGAATGAATGAAATAAAGAAATTCCTGAAAGGTGATTCGTGAATTTCGGCAATTTTACTGTTTATAAAACAGCTATTCGGAGTCCAAAGTCGATCCAAAACTTGATGATTTAGTGTTAAATTATCTTTGCATGGATTAAGATGTTCGAAATTTAACGCCGGATCAAGCCACATTTCATTGATATAAATTTCCATCTAAATTATTACATATGAAGAATTTAAATCGAAATTATTTAAGCAATAATTTCGGAAAATTTGAAATCGAATTATTTAAAACAGTAATTTTAAAAGTTCAGCAATCGGAAAACTAATTTCTTCACCATTATTTTCAGCAATTCTCATTTGTTCATAAATTTCAGCTAATTAAATGTTTTTCATAAATTTCAATTAATTAAATGTTTTTCATAAATTTCAATTAATTAAATAAAAATTTTTCATAAATTTCAATTAATTAAATGTTTTTCATAAATTTCAATTAATTAAATGTTTTTCATAAATTTCAATTAATTACACGACTTAATTATGAAAGACTATAATTAATAAAATACTGAAAGCAAAAATTTTTATGTAAAAAGAAAGATAAATTTTTTGAAAAAAAGCATTGCAAAAGAATTTTACAATTTTTCCACTTAAATTTTCTCGAAAATTTTCTCTTAAAATTTCGTTAAAAATCAAAAGAAAGGAAAAAGTTTTATCGATGGATTAAATAATGATTATAAAAATTATCATTAGAAATTAATTTAGCCATTAGTGATAGTAATTCTTAATTTATTAGTATCCTTAACATTATCATTAATTAAAATGTTATTAATAATAATTCTTAAATTCGATGGGTTAAATAATGAAAATTAATATATTTTTAATTAATTATTCAGAAATAATTCTTAAAATTATGAATAATTTTTAAACTCCTAAATAATTCGTAAATTTATTAATAATTTTCTAATTCATAAAAAATTCTTAAATTTATGAACAATTCGTAATAATTTCTCAATCATAAATAGATCTTAAATTTGTGAATATTTCATAATAATTTCTTAATCATAAATAACTTTTAAATTTATAAGTAATTCTTAAATTGATAAATAATTCTTAAATTTATAGGTAATTCCTAACAATTTCTCAATCATAAATAATTCGTAAATTCGTAAACAATTTTTAAATTTTTAATCAATTCTTAAATTTTTAAATATTAACAATTTCTTAATCTATAAATAATTCGTAATAATCAATAATGAATTCTATACATTATTTTCTAATATAATAGAAATTAAGTAATCAAATTTACTTCAAAATCATTGGTGATTTCATTAATTGAAGTAATTGCTTGTATCCAAAATTCGACCGCAACATCAACGCCAGTTTCTACTGCAAAGTATTTATTGCATTTGCAAATTTAAATATTTTGAAAGACAAAGTTATTATTGATTGTGAATGGAATAAATTAAAAGTTTATAATTTCTACTTCATTAAAAGCTTATAATTTCTATATCAGCATATCAAAAACAAAAAATCCCTTTGTTTTCATTATTTGAATTTATAATAAAATTTAATAACTGAGTAAATGTATTAAATAGTAAATGTATTAATAGTAAAAGTAAATGTATTAATAGTAAATGTATTAATAGTAAGTAAATTTATTAATAGTAAAAGTAAATGTATTAATAGTAAATGTATTAATAGTAAAAGTAAATGTAATGTATTAATAGTAAAAGTAAATGTATTAAATATAATAAGTTGAAAAGTATTAACACTTACATCAAATTTTCATGTCTCTAAAAATAAACTTTTAAATTTTGTAATTTTCACTTCTTCAAAAATAAACTTTTAAATTTTAAACTTTAAAAAAAATAAAGCTCAAAGGAATGAAATTCGCTGTAAGGGTTCGTATCATAAAATTTAAAAGGTTTTATTTCGTCTTGAGTGAGAGAGAGAGAGAGAGAGAGAGAGGGAGCATATCAAAAAGAAAAATATTTGTTCATCTTTTTTTATTTAAATTATATTTAATAGTAAAGCACAAATATATTAAGTAAAACATAAATTGAAAGAGTATTAACTCTTATAGCGAATTTCACTCCTGTTCTTAATATTTAAAATTTAAAAGTTTACCTTTTATTATCCAAAAATAGCCATCTAAAATTATTCATTCAATGATAAATTTACCACACGTAAAATGATGGAAAAGAACAAAGCGTTAATTATTGAATAAAATTTGACGGTTATAATTAATAATTAAAATTACAAAAACAAAAAAGATAATAATTAATAATTTTTGTTGTATTTAAAATTTTTCCATATTTTGTTAATGTTTCAAAAAAATTTACAAAAAATTTTTAAACCTAAAAATTATTATTACAATAACGGGAAAATATTTCAAATGAAAATTTAGGAATATTTCAAATTATCAAAATTTCATATCATCAAAATACGACGAATGTTTTCGCAAATAATTTTCATCTCTCTTATTTTCTTCCTTTTTTTAGCTAAAACGAATTAATTGTATATGACAGCTTTTAGTGAATTTACTATCTCTGTAAAGTGTTGAATTTAAAAGTATGAAATTTGTTGAGTGTTAGAGAGAAAAGAAAGTGACAACAAATAATTATACTGTAATTTATTGCTTAACTTATTTCTTGCAATAAATCTCGTTTTTTTTTTCCTTAAAACAAAAGAATTCATTTAAATTATATGAAATATATGATATATTCATTTAAACTATATAAACTATAATGATATTCATTTAAACTATTTAAACTAAATGATATTCATTTGAACTATATAAACTATATGGTAGTCATTTAAACTATATAAACTATGTGATATTCATTTAAACTATATGATTTCATTTAAACTTCATTTAATAAACTATAAACTTCATTTAAACTTCTATCGAATAGTTTATTAAATTAGATTGTCTTAGATTTATACTAAGCTTGCAACTATTCTTCATGTAAATTTTTATTAGTTTAATAAACTATGCGANTTTAAACTTCATTTAATAAACTATAAACTTCATTTAAACTTCTATCGAATAGTTTATTAAATTAGATTGTCTTAGATTTATACTAAGCTTGCAACTATTCTTCATGTAAATTTTTATTAGTTTAATAAACTATGCGAAAAGTTTATGCTTTTATGCAAAAGTATCACATAATTAATTTTTATCAAATGAAATAGTATAATTGCTTATAAATGTAGTAAGTATTGCTTGTAGGTATAATAAATTCGAAGTGAAATGCTTCGCTATATTATATTTATTACTATATTATACTTTAATAAAATTATAATAAGTTCTAAGTATAACGCTTCTCTATATTATACTTAAGTATAATAATTGCAATAATCTTTCTTTGTTTCAGATTTAAATTATATTTACTCTAATTTAATATTTGTTTTAAAAAAAAAAACCGAAAATTTAAAGTCTTTTTTAGGTAGATTTATTAAATTATTACTGTATTAAAAAAAGATTTATAAACGTTTATACTATAAAATAAAGTAGTATAAATCATGGATAAAAGAAGTAAAATTATCCGAAACCAAATTTCATTCATAATTATTCCATCATATAATTTCAAAGCATATACATATACATTGATCATATGTAAAACAAACAAATCATTCCTAAATAATTAATTACACAAAAAAATTTAAAAAATTACTTCGTAATTATTTACTTCAAAATATTATTTAAACTGTCAAAATGACATGTGTGATCCAAAAATAAACATTGAAGATAGAATATTTGCATTTATTTCGTAGAAAGCATGTTAAGACTGAAAAATACTCCTGAGAAATTTTTAATAATCTCATGGGAATTTCATTTTGCACTTAAAAATTTGAATTAGTTCAGGAGAATATCCATTCTATCCATTTCTGAAATTCAATTTTAGGAAAAAATTCCAAACTGTTTTTTATTTTTTTCTTTGGATGATAATATGTAACAAAATTGAAGATGAAAATTAAAGGAGAGAAATCAATCAGTTATTTATAAATGAATATTTGAGTAATTCAAAAATTAAAAAATTAAAATTATCATTTATCCATTCTTTACTTTAGTTGGAGGGAAAGATGTTAGGAAAGATATTTAGAAGTAAGGTAAATGATAAGGAAAGATATTTAGGAATAAAGTAAATGATAAGGAAAGATATTTAGAAGGTAAATGATAAGGAAAGATGTTTAGAAGTAAGGTAAAGGATAAGGAAAGATATTTAGGAATAAAGTAAATGATAAGGAAAGATATTTAGAAGGTAAATGATAAGGAAAGATGTTTAGAAGTAAGGTAAAGGATAAGAAAAGATATTTAGGAATAAAGTAAATGATAAGGAAAGATATTTAGAAGTAAGGTAAATGATTAAAAAAGATATTTAGGAGTAAAGTAAATGATCCTTTAGAAGAAACATTAAAAGAAAAAATAATAAATAGGAGGGAAGAGAGAGAGAGAGAGAGAGAGAGAGGGAAGTAAAAAGAGAGATAAAAATGATAATAAATTGCATACATTTTTAAAAAATTAGTGATATTGAGAAGAAGTTGTTATTATTGTTTATTATTATTGTTTACTATAGTTGTTTATTATCATCATTGCTACTATTTTTAATATTATATTATTGTTATAATTAATAATAATATTTTCATTACTATTATTATTTATTATTATTGCTATTTTATAAGTTTAATGGAAAAAACTTTTGGAAGGTTCATTGAGTATTTGAGATTACAATATTTCTAATACGAAAAATTATTTTGCAGAGGGCAAAGAAAATGATGAAAAAATGTCACATTTTATTTTATAAATTTGAATCTTCCCC